TGCCCCTCATCCAGCTGACCATCTTGGGTCTTCAGAGATGACGGTTTTGACCTCAAAAGGCAAAGGACAGAGAAACACAAAAGATGCAAAAGCAAGTCTTAGACCCAATTCAAGGTGGTAATGTAGCCATCCTGCACTTTGAGTGCCTACTCCATTTCACTGGGCTTATCCCACCTCACACCCCAACCCTCACTTAGGAGCTGGATCACTTAAGGTGACAAAAGAGCCTAATGAAGCAACCTCCTCCACAGTGAGGTTCAGGTGGCCCCGCCGGTTCCTGGTGTAATAGTGAGGCGCTGGGACAGAGACTAAGGCTGCCAGAGCAAAGCAAACTCTTATCTGAGGGTGGGGCTCAACATGATGCAAGGCACAGGGATGGCAGGCCTGGGGTGGGAGAGCCAGATGTCATTTATGAGCAACCTTTATGAACCCAAGGTCTGGGCACTTCAGCCTCCTGGCTGCCCCCACACTTTAGTGGCTTTGCAGGAAACAATACTTGAACAGCACCCGCTAAGCACAGATGCACAGTGGCAGGATGTCATGTGCAGCTGTTTCGACTGGAGGGGACAAGTAAGAGAATGATTGAGGTGGGTGGAGTTCCTTCTCAAAGTTTTCTGGAGGACACAAGTTTCTATGGGTAATGGCCTCTTAACTAATTAATTAGCAGTGACTGGAAGAGCTCATTAGCCACCATTCCGCCAGTTAGGGTCAGCTGCAGGAGTGGAAGGAATGAAGAATCAGGCAAAGGTAAATCAGGTATTATGCAGATCACTACATTTAGACTTGCTAATACAGGAATCCAATGTCATTCTTGGCATGAAAACTCCAAAGCACGGAATCCAAACACTGTCATCTCTTGGGCGCTGGAGTCTGCTCTGTGATTGGCCTTTTGCAATATATTGACCTCCCAATGTTTTTCTTTCCACCTAAGGATGCCGATGATAATGTTAGCTTACTGTGTGCTAAATATTCTACATGTATGAGCTCATTGAGATATCAGAGGTACTATAATTATCTACATTCTATAGGTGGGGAAGCAGCCTACAGAGGTTAAACAATTTATCCAAGGTCACACAGTGAGTGTGTGGCACGGCCAGCATTCAGCTCTGGAACTCTGGAGGCAGAGCCTGAATTACTCTTTTATGTCCTACAATGCACAAAATGCCAGAGTGGGGGACAGACTCGTTAGCTCTTTTTGCCAGGAGTCCTTTGTGGTGGCATCTCTGAACATGTGCATTGATTTAAATGAATTGAACTGGACACTCTCAGCAAATGAAAACAGAGGTTAGGGCACTCGGTGAGTTCATGCCCCAGAATGAACTTGCAGTTGCCTCTTGCCACACCAAGTAGGTGTTTAAAGATAGTGTTCTAGGGCCAGGCTCGGTGGCCCACAGCTACTTAGGAGGTGGAGATAGAAGGATCGAGATTCAGGGTAAACCTGGACGAAAAGTTAGTGAGACCCTATCTCAAAACATAAGCCAGGGGCTGGGCTTGGTGACTCAGAACTATATTACCAAGTACTTGGGAGGCAGAGATCTGAAGTATCAGGGTTCAGGGCCAGCCTGGGAAAAAAAAAGTTAGGGAGACCCCAGTCTCAACTAATAAGCTGGGACTAGTGGCACACACCTGTCATCCCAGCTACTTGGGAGGTGGAAATGGGAGGATCAAGGTCCAGGCTGGCCCAGGCAGAAATGCAATACTGTATTTGAAAAATAACTGAAGCAAAAAAGGCTGAGGGCATGGCTTGAGTGGTACATGCCTTCCTAGCAAGCACAAGGCCCTGAGTTAAATCCCTAGAATGGCAAAAAAAAAAAAAAAAATTAAATTAAAACAGTTCCTAGTATTCATAGTTCTAGTGTTTCAAGATAGGTGCTTTCAGCATAATGTATCTGGACTCAAGCCACCTGCTTCAGGTGCTCAGCCAAAGAAATCTGTTCCTGTGCTGGAGGAAAAAAGCTGGCTTTTTCCCATTGTCACCTTCCTGATAGATTTTTCTGGGGTAATTGTGTCTTTACATGGTTCTTACTGTATGTGCTGGCTTTAGAATCTAGTGTCCCTTTTCCATGCTCATTGCCCTCCCCCATCCACACTGCCACAGTGACTTTACGTCCCTGAGTGTTCAGTGTCTAACAGTTGTACAGATGGGGGAAGGGAGTGATAGAGTGTCACCAGTGGGGGAGGTCACAGCAGTTCAGGTAGTGGGTGGCAGAGAAATCCACCCAGGACTCTTTGCTTTGGGTGTATGGCGCAGAGTGATGGAGTCAGAGACAGAGACAGAGACTGGCTCTTTAACTGCAGCTCCGGCTCTGTCTATTTCCCTGTTCTCTCTGAGAATAGCAGTAAACCCCTGTTTTCCCACAGGCCTGCCCCCACCCCACCCCAAATCTGCCAGAACTTGAATGTAGGAGGTGAGGCCCAGCCCTGATTGCTACATCACAAATACACACAGGGCATGGGAGCCAGCCTCCTGGGGGTTGGGACAGGGGGTTGAAGGGATGGACACTGGGGCCTAGGGCCTTGGTGAACAGGTGGCTGAAAAGCCTAAAACCCTTGGAGAGAAACAGAGCTGACACCTGGGGTATTAGGAGAGGGCATGGGACATTTGGAGGCAGAATTCAGGGCATCCCTGTCCCATCCATTCTTTCCCACTCTGCCAATGTTATTTTCACACTCACAAAAGTAGCTGCATTGCCCAACAGGTTTAGTTCTTTCTTTGCCACCCACCTTGTGTGTTCTTTGCTTAAACTTCCCCCAGGAAGACTTCCTGGATTGGTCCCACTTAATTCCAGTCCTCCCTCCCACTTGCTAATCCATAAATATTTATCCAATAGCCACTTTGGCTCTTCATGCTGGCAATTCAAGATGGACAAAGTTCCTGCCCTATGGAGCACCCATTCCACTGGAGGAGACATCACAGTCTCACCAAAGACAAATAAGCAAACAAGAATTTCAGAGAATGACAGGAGCTTGAAGAAAGCAGGGTGATATGATGATGATCTTTGGTGAAGATGGCCTGGGGAGGGCACCTGAATTTAGATCTACAAAGAAATAAACAAAAAGAAAGAAAATAAACAAAAAGTTAAAATAATAACTAAAAAGAATTTAGACCTGAAAGCCATAGGAGTGCTGATTTTGGGAAGATCGTGGGAATCTAGGGGCAGGAAACAACCATTGGTGTCCCCTGAAGTCTTTCCCAGCAGGTACTTGATGACTTTGGAGAGGGAAGCCATAGCCAAAGTGACCCAGAGCCATGATGAGCGGCTGGAATTTTATTCTGTGGCTGACGTAAAGCTCACGGAAGGTTCTAAGCCGGAAATCCTCCCTGGCTGTCATGGGAGAATGGATTATAAAGAAACAGGGCAGGCGTGGTGGCACATGCTTGTCATCCTAGCTATGTGGGAGGCATAAACAGGAGGATCACAGTCCAGGCCGCCCCCGGCAAAAAAAAAAAAAAAAAAACCCTATTGGGAAAAAATAACTAAAGCAAAAAGGGTTGGAAATGTGGCTCAACTAGCAGAGCACCTGCCTAGCAAGCACAGAGTTAAACCCCATTTCCACAAAGAAAGAGAATGAATGGAAGTTGTGACTTCAGGAGACTACTGTAGAGGCCCAGCCAAAAAAAAAAAAAAAAAGAACTGCTCTTTATTTTAAGGGTCCCTCACCCCAAAGGACCTCAGCCTCAAGGACCTCAGTGTTACTTTAAACTTGAAAGGACTGCTTTGGCTGTTTGGACCAGGAACTGGGACTGGCTTGAAGAGACTTGAGTTCCCAGCTGATGGTGGAAGCCTGGTCAGTCACCAGTGACCAGCCAGGGTCCTCTCTGGGACAGCCCTGTGTCCTCCCCCTTGTGGTTGTGAGGAAGTACTGCACATCTCCCCTACAGAGTGGAACCCTGGATGGACAACTGGGGGCCACAATTTGAGTGAAACCAAAGTGAGAGGGCAGCAGAGCAAAAGAGCAAGCCTGATCTTTCTGCCAGGCAGGTGGGTTTGATCAAGAGGGCTCCCTGAGTCAATTGGGGGCCAGGTTTCTTTCATTTATTCATCAACTCCCTGAAGCTCCCTAGTGAAGATGGAGCAATACCAGGCAAGGCCACATCATATCCTCCTTGAACGTGGGATTGGAGAGGAGCCACTTAGGCTAGCCAAGTGTTTCATGTCCTGCTCTTACTTCCAGCTCCCCTGCAGGGATATGTGGGGATGCAGTGGTGGAGCTCCTTCACTGGGGCACACTGTACCAGCTTGATGGGATTCAGAGGCTCTCTACTCTCCAACACTGCCCCCAAGGGTTACTCAGCTTGTGATAAGTTTGGGCTTGGCCTGTACCGAGAGCCTCAGCCACTCCCTTTGGTCCAGTAATAATGACAGAAGTTTCCTGCTCCATCCCCCAAACTTCCTGAGCACACAGCCCAACTGTTCCCCCTTGTCCAAACCTGAGTGTGTTCACATGCACAGGTAGGCATGTTCTCTACCAGCCCTCGCTCCTCTACCCTGCTCTTTCCCTACCCCAGGACTAGTCTCACTGTGAACACCTTACTCCAACCTCCTGATCTGAACAGTTGCCTCGTTGCTCTTTCAGACCACCAAAACACCCACAGCTGCTCCAAGTATGGCAGCCATGGCATTCAGTTATAGGTTGGGTTATTTTTTCACAGCTGAGAAACCGATCCATGATGAGATTGGCTAGCTACTCCTTGTCCGGCTAGGACTTAAACCCAGGGCTTATCTTTCCCCACCTCCCCTGCTTGATATCACTTTCAGGAGAAAGACACACTATCTGTCTCTAAACCACTCTTCCTTCCCTCCAACCCACGCAATCAGTGTATTAAAGAATACTAGTTGAGAAAGTCACAGGGAAACGATTCGTGTTTTATTTCCACAGAGAAACTCAAAAGTAGGAAGCTCCTACTGCAAAGTCACAGTGACTTCTGGTCACAAAATGGAGTAGGTGAAGAGAGTGGCTGGTTTCTCTGATAAGGCTGGTGGTCATGGAGACGCCAGAGTGGCATGGGGAAAAACAAGGACTAGATGAACCCTAGTGCCCTGCCTAGGAGAAAGGATGTCAGCACCCAGTCAGGGCTGGTACAGCTGGGAGGGCTGGGGGAAGCACAGCCAGGCTCCTCGAAGACAGGCATTCGTGAGGTCTCAGCAAAGACTGGAAGAAATTTCTAGAAACAAGGAGAAAATCAAATGATAGAATGTGGCCACTCTTCCTTAATCTGCTGAGACTGGATGTTGTTTCTCCAGCTTCCGGGCTACAGTGATGACCTTGCTGTCCTATCCAGTCCACCTTCGGTTCCCTTGCTTTTGCTCCTACATAAAGCAAATTTTGTGGTTCTGCCAAGTTAATCAATAGCCACTTCCCTTCCAAGCCTCACTCTTCCTGCCTCTGAACCTTTGCCCAAAGACTCACCTCTCTACAGTTGCCCTGAACGGTCCCTGTCCCATTGCCTGTCCTTCATCCAGCCCGCCCCCTCTCCTTTTTAGAGCTGTGCCCGCGCACGCAGTCCCCTCTCTTAAGTTCAGCCCACCAGTGCTTTCTTAGTGTCCTGGGCCTTTTTCTTAGGAGTGTCTCCACACCCCACAGCACCCACCCGGGGGCCTCACTTCACGTGACTGCCATATGGGGACTGAGGAAATGCCAAGGTCCCAGCCTTGCCTCAGATTGCTCTGACACTTACCTACCAAAACTTCAGCCACTGCAGCAGGCCAGGTTGTGCTCGGGAAGCCTGCAGGATGAGGAGGACAGCTGAGTGGACATCCCACTGCCCCTCCACCCTGTCCTGCCTTAGAGTCCATCTGTGTCCAGCCACATTTTCTCAGCCCCCACACTCACCGAGGAAGAAGGAGTGATTCCTCCCTGAAAGAGAAAATCAGAGGAAGTGACAGAGGTCACAGGGGCCTCTCTGTCCTCTGCCTTGGCCTCAAGTGCACCAAAGATCCAGTAGCAGGGCAGGTGCAAGCTAGGATGGTCACCAAGTTCCTGCCATCTGTGGACATTCAGTCTACAGACTTTGCCCACCAATTTGTTATTCTAAGTAAGTTTTATCCAAGATGACATTGAACATGGCCCCTGAGCACACAGGGACCAAGGCCAGCTGGTTGAATAGATAGTGGCCATGTGTACGCCCACAGGTGGTGTTAGCTTCATCCTCACCTCCTTTTCCTCAACAATAGTTTCCATCTCTGACTAGAAGCTTCTCTCCCCAGGGAGATGGAGGGAGACCCCCCTTGCCTGGTTTTCTTTGCTAGCCTGAAGTGTCTTGCATATTCACTCCTAGACATTCCTTTTTTTTTTTTTTTTGGAAGTGAGAGAAACAAACTTCCCAAGTGCGCAGGCCTCAAGTTTACTAGGAGCCACACCTCCAGCCTTTTAGCGTTAGCTTTGTTTTTTTTGATAGGGTCTTGAGCTTTTGCCCAGGCCAGCATCAGACTGCAATCCTATTTCTGCCTCCCAAGTAACCGGGATTATAGGTGTGAGTCACCACTCCCAGCACTTCTACGGTCCTTACTGAGAGGATCTGGTTTTCCTGTTTCCTTCTTGCACCGAAATTGCTCACCTTCAGCCTTCTCTGAGAGGGTAGCTGTGTGGAGCATTGAACTCCTCTGGCCTGCTTTCTGAACTGCTCCCAAAGGGGAGTAGAGGCCTGGCTTCCACGGTGAACTGGGTGGACCCTGCGGTAGACCTCTCCCCCTACTCACTGCAGAAGGCCTCACATGGGAAAAACAGGGCCATCCCAAGTCTTACCTTAGAAGGTGTCTTGACTGAGTACTGCAAGTTATGGTCAGCAGGATGTGCCTGCTGGTTGTAATTGTAGTTCTGTGGGAACAAGTGGACAGCAAGGGCTTGAGGAGAGAAGAAAGGATGAAGGCCCTTTGCTTGGTTGATAATCTACCCTGCCCAGGCTGATGTTTCTCAAAGCCCTTGACTTCCCTCCTCACTGTGCTGTCCGACTGTCTAGCCCAAAGGGCCTGCGACCTCTTTCCTTGGTCCCTCTCCCAGCACAAGTGTAACTTGGGAAGTGAGGGTAAGAAACCAAGGGAAAACATGGAGCTTAAATCTGGCAGTAATGTAGATATCATGCCTCAGAAGTTACATACAACTGCCTCTTCTTGTCTTCCTGTACCAGTCTGAGAAAAGGAGTGGATGGGGGAGTGACAGATTGGAAAGACCCAGGAACAGGGCCAAGAGGGACCAAGGGCCTTCTAGGAGAGACTGAGGGCAAAAAGACCCACCTGGTCAGCACCTCCTGCCCTCTTCTGGATTGATGATTCATCTGAGTCCTAAGAGGGAGAAAAGGGCCACAGTTAGGGTCTCCATGGTCTTCCAGGCCTTGTCAGACTCTAGCGTCCTATTGCCTAGGCTCTGCCCTCCTTTGGCAGAGCCTGGCTCACCCCACCTCTCTGATGGTCCAAGTGCAGTGGGGCTGAAGGGTCCTGATGGCCCAGATAAATAGAGAACACGGATTTCCACACTCAGAGTTGGGAAGCCATGGCAGAGGGCGGAGCTGGACAACACTACCCCTCCACACATACACTGGGAGTCTTAGCAGCTCTGGCTGGAGACTGTGCTATGATGGATGACAAAGTGATTGAACCCACACAGGCCCCTCAGCTCCAGCCTGCCCTTGGCCTACTGCTGCCTCAATGCCTTTAATCCCTGTGCGAAGACAGTTCTCTACAGAGTCCTGGTAGCTGAGTGATTAGCTGAGCTCCCAGGCAAAGGATGAAGAGAAAGGGGAGAGACACAAGGTTGATAAAGCCACTTAAAGCAGGTGACTTGTCACCCCTCCCTCCAAGGCAGGGGGAAAAACTCTAGTGTTAGGAAGTTCAGTCCTGCATCGCCACTCTCTACTAAGACCCCGACACACACACTTGCCTACACCATAGGGCTGTCTGACTTAACTCTGCCTTACCCACCCCTGGCATTGGCCTTTCACTGCAGTACCAGCCCTGACACCGAGTTCACAAACTGGTTGTCCACAGGCCTCCACTTTTGGCTTTGCCTCCTTTTTAAAAAAATTAAAATAAGCCAGGTGCCAGTGGCTCATGCCTGTAATTCTAGCTACTTGGGAGGCTAAAATTGGGAGGATCCCAGTTTAAGGCCAGCATGGGCAAGTAGTTTGTGAGACCCCCATCTCCAAAAAATAACCAGAGCAAAATGGACGGGAGACATGGCTCAAGTGGTAGAGCACCTGCTTTGCAAGTATGAAACCCCGAGTTCAAACCTCAATCCCACCAAAAAAAATTTAAATTAAAATAATTGCAAACAATTAAAAATCAGATTTCTAGTTTTCCTTGAAAAATCAGACATAGCAACATTGGTGCTGGAGGACTTGACCTTCCCCTGGGCGTGGCCCCACCTGTCCAGCCTCACATGTCTAACCCTCACCCCAGTGCCCAAGGGTTCTGTATCTCAAGAGCACTGGCCTTGCAGAATTGAGATGTGGCTTAGGGGTCCTGTTCATCCTTTCCAAGACCTAAGCATCAGACCTTCTGCATCTGCCCATGCTTGACCCTGACCCACCCCCACACTGCCCTCCTGTTTCCCCTCAGCCTTCCTCCCCAGCATCCTCTTTGTAGCACCTACAAGTTGGCCCAAGCCCCAGACCCTGTCTCTTTCCCATTTCCTGGAACCTTGCTGTGGCTGCCCCCGAGCTAGGCTGAGCCCAGCAGGAGCAGCGGCAGAGCAGAGACAGTGGCTAGCTTCATGGCCTGTGCCTGTGGAAGCCCCAAGCCTCAAGCACTGGGCTTTTATGCTAGAAAGGCTCTCCCACCCTGCTCCTCCGTGACTCACAGCTTCTCTCCACCCCACTGCACTTGGGGTTACACTAGCCAGCAGGGAGGGGAAGAATGGAGACAGGGACATCAATCCATCTACGGAGGCCCCAACTCAGGTGTCTAGAGCTGAGCTTCCTTACCCCAAAACGAGAAGTTCTGCCCTTACCTCAATTTCTTTCCAGTTGAAGAAAGGAGTGTTGCGTTTGAAGTCCTGGAGGGAGGAGAGGAGAGTGAGCCCCAGGGAGCAGAGCCCAGACTCACCATGTTACTGTAGGAAGTGGCTTGAGAGGCGGGGTGGTTTGGGGTTGCAGGGCGTTTGATTTTGAGGTGGCGTTAACGTAATAGGATTTGGGTGAGATGATCCATCTCAAAAACAAGAAGGGTCATTTTGTGATGGGTAGACTGGAGCTGGTGTGGCTGCTTTGAGGAAAGGATGCAGAGGGACAGGATGACCAGGACCCCAAGGTCTTTAAAAAGGGGGGGTTCTCCTACCTCCCAGAGTCGGCGGAAGTAGAGCAGGGCTCGGGTGCTGGGAGATGGGACGCGGCCCTGTGGATGAAAGAGGGAGCAGGTTAGCAAGGAGCCTGACCTCTGCATTTCTGAGCCCTGGCGCCCACTCCTGCAGCAGTTAGCCTTCATCTCAGAATCTCTTTGTAACTAAGGTTTGGAGGGGAGGCCGGGAATCGTTAGGGGCACCAGAAACTGGTTTTGGAAACAAAAAGAAAGGCTACATCTCAGAACCGTCAACCTGCCCACCTGCCCCCAGCACACACATATGCAGTTTTCTCCCAGTCCTCCTCGAGGTACAGCATAATTGTAGCAAAACCTCAGGACCAGGACCTCCCACCTCCTCACCTGCCATGCACCTCCAGGGCATCTCCCCATCCCCAGGACAACAGTGGAGACGAAGAAAAGAGCAGAGACCAGGAGTGTGGGGGAAGCTACGGTTTATTTCCAGGGTAAGGGCTAGGATTAGGGAAGGGGGTTCTTAAGCAGGGAGTGGGGTTCCCATCCAGCTGGTTGCTCCTTGTCTGGAGGTCACGGGCTGCGAGAACTCTCGTCCTGAGCAAAGAAATAGGTTCTAAGAGGAAGTCTGAGGAGTAGGACCTCCGGGGAGCAGCAGATGAAGGCAGGGTAGCACAGACCCCTGCTCTACACACCTACAAGGACCCTTTAGCTTACCACATCACCAGGACAGATCCAGATGTCCCAGGCTGGTCTTGAGAACCCTGACCCTGGCCGGGAACATTCCATAGAGCCCTTGTCCTGCTTAACCCCCTCTCCCTCACTAGAAGGAGAGCTGAGCATGGTAGCCTTCTCTGCCCTGACCCTCTTCCTCCTGGATCTGTCCGCCAGGGAAGCCATCCACTATGAATTCTGCCCATCTGTCCTGGCCCTCTGGGAAGTATTGGGGTGCACCCAGGCTCTCTCATGGGACCCTCAGTGCCCCCAGGGTCCAGCAAACAGTCTCACCCCATGAGAAACTATTCTCAATAAAACAGAATTTATTTTGTTCATTCAAACCAGAAACGCACCGCAGCTGGCACATTTGCCCTTTCCTATCGCTCCCCCCATACACGCACGCACACACACACACACCCCTCATTCCCGAGAGCCTCTGCTTTTCCAGAGGTCTGGATCCCTGTCTACTATCAACCCCTCCTCCCATAAAGACCACTGGTCTTGGGAATCCTGGGACCCTGGTCTTTATTCCCTTACATTAAGGACCAAAACCTCAACTGCTCCCAGGGCCAGTAGACTGTTGAAATGATTGACGGCCAGGGCCATTATGGTCACTGGGGAGCTAGGGCCCATGGCAAAAAGCAGCAGCCGGCCTGTTACTCACTGCCCAGAGTTGCCAGGTCTTTCAAGAGAAGTCATAATTCCTAATCATTGAGTGATGTGTTTCAGTGTTTAAACTTTGACAACTAATTCATATGCTTTTTTTAAAAATGACTCAAGACCCATGAGTGGGTCTTGGCCCATGAGTGACAGTTTCTGCCTGGGGATTTTTTATGGAATGTTCTTTGGCCTCATCCTCTCCCCTGTCCAGCTATTCTGGGTGTCAAATCAGGGGGTCCCTTGCAAGAGGGATGGGTGGGCAGAGAGGCAGGAGGGGTCCTGGGCCCCAGCTGTCCTCTAAAGTTACGTGTGTGCAGGGTGAGACCAGTGCCCATCACTTGGCAGCTGTTCTGGTCCTTGTCCCTTGTCTCTGGGTGCTTCAGTCCTAGTCTGAGTCCTCATTCGGTCTCTCCCCTACAATCTTGCTAGTCTAAAGGGGAAACTGAGGTTCAGAACCTAATCTATATGTTGAGGCATTTAATAGGGCCATTCCCTCTCCTCATCCCCTACTTCCAAAAGCTTCCAAATTCTTCCTCTTTTCAGGTCTCTCCCCTCATTGTTGGTTTGGATTTTGTGCTTAGCACTGGCCTAAGTACCTTCTTAGTGGCCATTATTATTATCTCCCAGCTCCCCAATCAGAGGTTTAGCTTCATCCCTGAATTCCTCTCATACTAAGATCGGAAGTGCCCAGCCCTCCAGCCCTTACCTTTTCAATGGCATCCCAGTTAATGAAACCCATCTTGGATTTAAAATTCTGCAGAGAAAACAGAGTATACAACTCAGGTCATAGAGTAATTGGTTCAGAGCCTCAAGCTAGAAGAGGTCAAGGGCAATGGCTGACTGCTGATTAGAAAGAGGACTTCTAGCTGTAAGGCCAAGGGACAGGGGTTGGTTTTCCAAAGTACATGGAGCATAGCAATCTTTCAGAACTCACCTTCCAGAAGGTGTCAAAGTTGAAGGGCATGGGAGATGTCCCAGAGTTCTAAGGAACCGACGAGAAATGGAATGAGGTTAAAAACTTACTGAGCTAGAGATAGGGGTGGGAGATATGGGTGTCAGGAGGGGAGGCGAAGTGTGCTCAACACCGTGGTCCCAGCCCAAGGTAGAGTGAGGCCTGTACTCACCACAGTATTGAGTCCACTGACAGCGTCATTTCTTCCACCATTGCTGTTGGACCCTTGCCCCTGGGTGGAAAAAAAGGGAGCATATACCTACTGTCATGCATGCACCTACCAGCTGCTCCTGGCCCACTCATCTTCACCATTGCTCCAGATCCTCTGCACCTCTCTGTGAACCATCGTCTGTTCTTTACCTAACACCTTCAATTCCCACCTCAAAAAACTGTCCTAGAATGACTGCGACAAAGTAACCTGACCCAATCCCTTGAATCATATTCAAATTCTTGCCTCCGCCCTCCTATCCCCAAAACACCATTGGTGATGAAAGTAGCTAATGTGTGGTCCCACTATGTGCTGAGCACCATGCCTTATTCTGCCATATGCAGGAGATAACTCCATTTTTCAGATGAAACTCAGAGGTTCCCACCCACTGGCCTCAGCATCTGTCTCTTATGTCTATACCCTGCACCACCTTGGTGTGATTCTTATACAGACCTCTCTTCGGTAACTATGGAAGGTGAGCATGTCAGGCTTCACTGTCCATGTTTTTCACAAGGAAGCCCATGCTCCCAGAGGTTAACTGACTTGTCTGAAGATGCACAGGTGACAAGAGAGTTACAGAACTGATGTTCCAACCCCCATCTTCTAACCCAATGTTCAGCGACTTTCCACTTCTCAACACTGACTTCTTCTTAAGTGTGGTTTTAAAAGTCTCCCTTGACCTTTCCTGTTACTTTTGTCAAAATAGGACTTTGTTTTGCCAAGTCCTATTGCTCTGCTCCCAGTTGGAGCAGAGCAAGAAGAAACGGATGTTTTTGTTTCTTTTCCCAGGCCTTTGGTATTCTGTCCCACATTCCACCATCCCTTCTGCTAAAGCCAACCCTGGATGTCCCCTGGCTCACCCCATGATTGCCTTGGGAGCCCCCAAGGAAGTGACCATTCTCTCTGCTTTCCTAGGAAGACAGAAAGTGGAGGAGTCAGTAGGGAGGAGAGGGCAGAAACCCAAGAAAGAGCTCCTTCTCCCTAGATAACTCCATCTTCTCTGGCAGATCTCTGTCTACCTCACGTGATGGACAGGTTACTCCTCACTTACAATGGCTATGGAGAACATCACCATCTGTTAATACTTATTTCTGCAAGCTGCTCAAAATCCAGCAGCTGGAGCCTTTGCCACCAAAGCATTTGAAGCCTCCCCTGTTTTTGAATCAGGAGCAAGCCCAGCTGTTGGACTGAACTGATTCAAACTGGAGGTCTCTGCTTGGCTGAAGTCTGCATTGGACAGAATGTGATTCAGTGGGAGCTGAGGTGGCCCAGAGACTGGTTTGTCTCCTAACCAGTCAGGCTCATCCATCTGCATGTCCTCATTCCCAGAACCAGCATGTAGAGCAGTCAGGATGTCGCGCTAGCTGTTTGCACTGCTGCTAGACACAACCTCCACCCCATTCACCTCAGGGAGTCTCTGCTCTCGAGGACTGCAGTTCCTCTACCCTGATGTCCCTGGGGCCACTGGGGCAGTCCTGTCCTCCCCTGAAGCCCCAGGGGATAAGACAGTCAAACACAGATTCTTTTTCTCAATCCTGGACCATCTTCAAAACCTTCACGTATTGATTTAGTATGATTTCTCTAAAGTTCCAAAGGAATTCTCTTTGGGCACCTGTCAAGATAATTTTGAAATTTGTCTAGAAGGATAAAGGTCTAGGCATAGGTAAGAAAACTCTGGAAAAGATCTGTGGCAAGGGGAGACTTATAGCTGGTAGATATTACTATGTACCATAAGCTACCTAAGTAAACAGAACAATGAATCCATCTGCTCAGCAAAACACAACTCCCAGCGTGGCCCCTAGTGTGATGGTGTTTGCGAGGGGGATTTAAAGCAGTGCTGGAAGCAATTCCATTCATGGGACTGGGAGTACCATTAAGTAGGAGGGGAAACATTAGTTACACCCTATCAGTAAAGTCCTTTTAACGGGTTTTTGCTTCATAAAGGAGGACACAGCTATGATCCAAAGTATAGGGTAATTGTGGTTAGATCTAGGAGTAGGACTAGACCTAATACAGGAAAATAAAGTCTGGATGGGTTAAAGAGTCACGTTGAAAAGTGCAATTATACAAGAGTTTATAATATTGGAAGAGAAGAAATACATTTAAAGTAATACACCAAGAGCAGAAATCACAGCGAAAATACTTGACATTTTTGACTCTATGTACTTAAGATTTTGGTGTATAAAAAGTAGAAATAAGAGTTACAAACTTGGAGAATGTTTCCTAAAACCTGGGCACCCATAAAAGTTAGCACCCTAATATATATGACAAGGAGTTTTTGAACAGCCAGCTCAATTTTGTCCTACCCACCATGGGCACTTTCTCCCACGGGGACCTGCTCTTCACCCTGTGATCCATGGGGGCCACCAATGCCCAGCCTAGCAGGGCAGCCTCCCCAGGGAGCTGGTGAGGAGCTCCCCACCCCAGACTTGAGGGATCAGAGCCTGTGTCTGCACAAGGCCTCCAGGTGTGGACATGAGTGCCACATTTACTCAGCCTGCACTGGGCTGAGGCCCAGACTGCCAGAGTGGTTGGGAGGAAACACACTTTCTAAAACACTTCTCTGCCAGAGGTCACTGGATCCATCCACTGGCCAATGCATGGACACTTGAATGACTGTACTTCTAATAGGATAGGTTACCTCGGCTCTCCAGACCCAGCTGGGTAGAAAGCGAACCATGTACTTAAGGGTTTGCAATTAATTGTTACTTTGGACACTATTTTTCTGAGTATGTGTTGAGTTTCTTCTGGCTAAAGTGTGGCTCCTTGAAGACGGGGCAAGAGGGGGCAGGCATAGTGACAGTGATAAACAACAGTTACCACCTGCAGTTTGGCTCTCACCTGACTCCCAGATTCTCCATAAATACGCACCTCATTCCCTGGGTTGTCACACTGTGGGAGAAAAGGAAGATTTTCTCTCAGTCCCCTCCCAGCACCAGTTCTAGCCCAACAGGCAGGTTTGTTGTTTGTTTGGTTTGTTTTTTTTTTTTTTTTTTTGCAGTACTGGGGTTTGAACTCAGGATCTTGCACTTGCTAGGCAGATGCTCTGCCTAACACACACACACACACACACGCACACGCACACTCTCTCCCAGCCCTTTTTGCTTTCATGATATTTTGAATAGGATATAGGATCTCACTTTTCTACCCAGACACAGCCTGGACCTCCATTCTCCTATATATACTTCGCTCGTAGCTAGAGTGACAGGCATGTGCCACCATGCCCAGCTTTATTGGTTGAGATGGGGTCTTGTGAACTTTTTGCCAGGGCTGGTCTCAAACCACCATCCTCCCACCTCCTGAGTAGCTGGGGATTACAGGTATGAACCACTGCACCCAGCCTCTAAAGGGCAGCATTTTAACTGGCTTCATCACAGCAATCTTCCCCATTCTCAGCCAAGCCCCAGCTCCCCAAACCGGCAAGGGGCTGCTGACCCCTCCTCCTTTTCTTCCAGAGTTTGAGGGAGATTTGTGTCCAGGGAACCCCTAACCACTGACCTCAGGTCTATTTCCACCACCACCGCCTCTGCTGTTTCCACTGCTACTGCCTGAGGAGCCGGAACCAGATCCCTACAAGGGAAAACAGTCCATGTGCTGTCTTAAAGGGATTTGCAGAGGGACCCAGTAATTCCCAGCTGCATTGTGGATCTTCTGTCAACCCCCTCCAACCTCCATGCCTTCCCAGCTTTAGCCAGCTGATGGCTGAGGGAAGGTAGTCTGAGCACAGAGAGGCCAGGTGTGGTCAAGTGTATTTGCAAAAAATGGTCAGGGATTTGGGGAACATATCTCCCCCTCCCCACAATGGCCACTGGGAGCCGCCATCTGGCCACCAGGGGGCAGGCTGGGGCTCATTCTGCTCCAGCACTTCCCCACTTGCTCCTAGAAGGAAGGATGCAGAAGGGAGCCTAGAGCCCTTACCCTGGAGACCGAAAAGGGTTCATCAAAATCTCTAGAACTTTCTCTGTCCTAGATGGGGGAGAGAGGGTCATGTAAGGAACTGCAAATTAAAGCTATTAGGGCTTGTCATAATTACTTACATCCTTTTGCTGACAGCAGTCACCGTGTACAATTTGACTCTCAGGCCCCAGAGAAAACCCATGTGGCTCCCTTCTCCCCTCTGTCTTCTCCCCTCTCCTCCACCTATGGCAGTCCCTCTGGCCCTCTCAACGCATGCTGACATCATTAATGCTGTCTACACCACAGCTCTACAAATGTCCTCAAGTCTCCACGCCTGCAGCCCAGACCCCCATTCTTCTAGGAGCTTCCCCAACAATTGTTATGTCTGATTTTTCTGTGCCACCTCTCTCCTTCCTTCCATCACCTCCAGCTCTGCTCAGACTTGCTAAACCAGCAAGGAATAGAGGTTAGACAGGAAGCAGAACTTCCTCACCGTAACAGGGTGGAAGGGAAGAAAGGAAGCAGAAGTAGTCAGGGGAGTGGTTTTTTTTTTCAAACTGGGATTTGAACTCAGGACTTTGTGCTTGCAAAGCAGGCACTCTACTGCTTGAGTCATCCCTCCAGTTCATTTTGCTCTGGTTATTTTGGAGATGGGATCTCAGGAACTATTTGCCTGGGCTGACTTTGAACCTCGATCCTCCTGATCTCAGCCTCCTGAGTAGTTAGGATTACAGGTGTGAGACCCCAGCGCCATTCTGGCAGGGTTTTTTTGTTTTGTTTTTTTAATAGAAACTTGACCTGCCTATGTAAGGAGCCCCATGGTTGGGAATGGGAGGTAACAAACAGAGGTTGAGGGAGCCACAGGAGGGTGACTGCCACTGATGCTACCCACTCTGGAGTGGCAACAGCTCTTAAGGAATCCCAGAGCCTGTCTCCTCAGCAGCGACCATGGGACCCTCATGCCATTCCTGCTTTCAACAAAAAAGCAAAACTTACTCCTCCAGACCCAGAACTGCTGCCACTGCCACCGTGGCCACCGCTTCCACCATGGCCACCGCTTCCACCGTGGCCACTGCTTCCACCTTGGCCACCATTGCCACCCTGGCCACTGCTGCCACCCTGGCCACTGCTTCCACCTTGGCCACCATTGCCACCCTGGCCACTGCTGCCACCACTGCTACTGCTGCTTCCCTGAGGGGCAGGAGAACAGAGCCGTAAGGACTAAAGACAGGAACACCAGGATTTCGTCCCTCCTCCCCTGCCCTCTGGTGGGGCACATTCTCCCTCCCCACCCCAGTCTAAGGGGAGCAGTGTCCCTCTCCTGGTGTTGAATGCCACAGGCCATCCCTCCTCTTACCCCAGAGTTGCTGGAGCTGTCTTCAGTTCCAGACGGTGGGGGGTTGGTGCACTGCAGAGGAAAGGGGACAGGTGAGGTGAGAGATTTCTGTCACAATCACCTCCAGGGGCCTCTCCTCCTGTCTCCTCTCCTCCCATCTCCCTTCTTTCTTCCTAGCCTCCTCCACACCCATCTCTTCCTAGGGCCCCCATCCCTCACCTCTCCCTCTGTCTTTCCTTGTTGTTTCTCCCCACTTTATGTCACAGGCACCCAGATGTCCACTCCATCCCCAGACTCGCCCTCTTACCCCCGAATTTTGGTTACTGCCTCTCACTGAACCATAGCCAGGCTGGGCCACAGCTCCCTGCAGGGGTAAGGGAGGATGAGACTGAGTGTGGGTCTCAGAGGACCCAGGGGTGTGTGCAGAGTGTGGCTTAAAGGGTGGGAAGGGCGTGTCCTTTACCTGAGAATTGGTCCTATAGTTGAATGGCCCTCCATCGCCTCCCTGACCAACGGAGCCTTCCAGAGAGTTGGTTCCTTGTTCCCAGGGAGTCCCTGGACCTCCAACATTGCCCTGGCCTTGGCCACCCTGAGAACCAAACATGCCGTGGCCTCCAGATGTTCCCTGCGAGGACACCACACCTGCTCTTAACTGTGGCCATCTCTGACTGATGGAGGGAGGGCAGGCAAAGCCAGCAGAAGATAGGAGCCAGAGCAAGCAGAGGGAGCAAGCACATAGAGAGCTCACGGAAGTAGAAGAAGGGCACAAGGCATGACAGGAAACGGCCTCAGATAGCAACAGAGGAACCGTTTCCTAAGGTTCTTAACCCAGCTGCCCCACAAGGCTTCCCAGCTACTCACCCAAACCCTGGAGTTGTGGGCAGCACCCAGTCCACGTCGAACGATGCCCTCCACCTGTCTTCTGGCCTCACTTCCAGTGTTGCCAAGCTCTTGGGCTGCTTCCCTGAGCTGGGGGCTGAAAGCATCTCCCCTGGCCTCCCTGATTCCAGACTCAACTCCTCCTCCCTGCCCTTGGTCAAAAGCCCCCTGGATTCCAGGGCTGGCTGCATGGCCAACGGCCTCCCCAACTCTGTGGCCAATGGCGTCTTCCACCTCTTGTCCAGCAACTGCTCCAGCGTTCCCCCCTCCACTGTGTAGTGGCCCAGCCATCCCACTGCCCAGGCACAGGGCCAGCAGGAGGCAGGCCAGGGACCCTTGTAGCTTCATCTCTGCCCAGCTCCCCTCTCTCTCGAGGGTCTTCTTCCCGCCCCAGACTACTGCTTCTGTTGCTGGTTCTGTGTGCCCCCTGCCTTCTCTCCCACTGCCTTCTTATTCTCCCTCTGAATCCACAGCCTTCTCTGTCCTTTCCCAGACTCCCTTTCTTTTCCAGAGCCGTCCTCCTTACCACTACCCCTTATACTGTAGGTTGGAGAAGGTGACAGGGCTGGGCAGCGCGGGGTCCCTCCCCCAGTGACTCAGGGCCCAGCCACCGATAGGGTAATGAGTAGTAATTGTGAGTCTGCCAGACTGTGTTGAAACAGAGAGGGAGCTGAGCACGGGGAAGGGAGGGATGGGGTGAGGTGGATGCAAAGGTGTTCCACTTGCCCAACCCCAGGAATTTGGGGCGCAGGGTGGGGATAGGAGCATCTGAAGAGATAGGTGTTGGTGTCTCCTGGAGGCGGCAGGTCCCACCTTAGGAGAGAGAACTCAGACAGGCAGGACCCCAGCAGGGAGAGGGAAGCCCAGTGGAAGGAGACCTGTCCGAGGTAAGCCACCTGGTCGGGGCACCAGGATGGGAGGCAGGTGCCCTTGCTTGGCTCTTCTCAGTTTCAGCAGACCTTGCAGCTCCCTCAACTCTCCCTTGCACACTAAAGATGCCTGCCTTCATGCTCTTCCACACAGAGTCACTGGGAGCCATGGGGCTGTGTTCAAGTTCTGAAACTGGGGAAAGCCCTTGGTGAAGCCCCCAAGTGCCTGGGAAGAAATGGCTCTCCCCTGAGAGTGACTGCTAAAGTGTCTCAGTTAACACTCAGGCTGCTGTCGCTGAGAAACCTGGGCGTGGAGCAGGGGAGCTGGGCGGGCCAGCCACCCCCAGGGGAGAGTGGGAGGGAAAGACCAAGGGAGGGGGCAGCTGACCAGGTTTCCATCCTGTTTACCCAGCTCGAGGGACACAGGTGAGCTCAGGACCATCATCACCCAGCTTGTCACACCCACCTGAGCCTCCCCCAGGGCCAGGGTAGCACTGGCAAACGAGGAGGGCTCAGCACAGGAGACATCCCTAGGCACCATGCTTCTCATCCCTAGTCCCCACTAGGATCTGGAACTCCGGCATCCTCCCCATCTTTCCTCCCTGCTTGGCCAGTGTGGCCACTTCTTTGTTCCCAGGGGCCCCAGGTCCTCCCGCTTGGCACTGTGTTGTATCACTGGGATTCATCATAGTTAGGAGGGGCCGGTTTCCATCTGCCTTTCTCAATGTCTCTGTCTTTCTCTTCTCCACCCCACACCCGCACCTGACTTGTAACATCCAACCCTCCTTAGCATGTAAACACCATCCATGACTGGGACCAGTCTCCTCTACTCCCACCTCCCATCTGACTCTAATGATGATAATAATGGTAGTAGTAAGAATAATAAAAATAACAATAATTGCAGCTCCAGCTTTCAAAGGCTTTTTCTCTGTGCCCGTACTGGACTATACGCGCTGTAAGAATCACACAGCTTGAAAGATGGGTTAGACACAGACACGGAGGCTCGGAGATGGCACATGATCATGCAGTAGAGCCAAGAGCCAAGCCCAGACCTGTCCCCTGCCTGAGCTCAGGCTCTCAAGCCCCGTCCGTCATGTTCGTGTCTCACACCCACCCCTCCGTGTTCTCTGGACAAACTTGAGTTTGGTCTTGCTCTAGGGCTGTGTGAGAGGAGAGGGCTGCATGAGGAAAGTGGGGCTCCCTCCCACCCCGAGCATGCTGCCTCTCTCTTCTGCAGCTCAGGGTCACGGGTCAGAGGAGGGACATTGGGCAGAGCACCCGCCGACTCACAGGCTCCTTCCGAGCCGGCCTCATCTCACCCCATCTTACCAGCACTGCACACCTGCCTTCTCCCTTCGCCATTTATAAAGTTTGTCTTTAGATTTCTTACTTAAGAATATTACAAGAGCCCGGGGTGATGGTGCATGCCTGTAACTCCAGTGCATGGGGGCTGAGGTGGGATGATTTTGAGTCCAAAGCCAGCCTGGGCTACATAGACCCTATCTCAAAAAAAAAAAATAGAATACTTCAAACAAATACTTCATGCCACTCATTAAGTGGAAGCCAGGATAACTTGTCCATGGATAGAAAGTGTCAGAAAGTCAGGCAGGGCGCCATGGCTCACGCCTGTGTTTCTAGCTACTCAGAAGGCAGAGACCAGGAGGATCACGTTCAAAGCCAGCCCCAAGCAAATAGTTTGCAAGACCCTATCTCAAAAAAACCCAACACAAAAAGGGATGACAGAGTGGCTCAAGGTGTAGGCCCTGAGTTCAAATCCCAGTATTGCAAAAAAAAGTGTCAGAAAGTCACAATGAGAATCAGACAGTGGCATTGCCTCATAGCTACAGGCCCACTCTCTCTTTATTAAAAAAAAGATCTCAGCAAGTCTGAGAGGTGTCCGGGTACACCACCCCAAAAACTGTGTCTTTCCCTTTAACACAGTTCAAAAGCTTAAAAGAAAATTGAGGAGTGAGCTTCTTATGGTCCAATTTGGAGTTATTCAAAGCCATGCCCATGAACCACCTAATTTCTCCCAAACCCCAATTCCGCCTTCTAGGATAAACGTCCCTCATCCATCACCGGCCTGTAGTTACCTCAGCTCAGCCTTCTACACTCTTGTTAAATACCTGTTGAAGGCTGGGAGCACAGCTCAAGTGACAGAGGGCCTTCCTAGCAATCTTGAGGTCCTGAGTTCAAATCCTTGTACCACCAAAAAAAATTTTAAAGAAATACTTATTGTAATCAAATGGATTATTAGGTGTTGACCTTAATCCTCACTACAACCCCAAAAGGTCAGTACTGCTCCCATTTCGTACATGAGGCAACTGAGGTCCAGAGTGGTTAAACACACCCAAGGTCATATGTGAAATGACTGTGATGCAATGGAACTGTTAAACCATGACCCAGATCCTTCTGACCGAGCTTGTTCTTCAACATCCCTAAAAACATCCCCAAAACTGACATGTGTGTCATGTCTGAGACCCACTGGTTTCATCTTCTCTCTAATTCACTGCTTCATTCATTCTGCAAATCTTTGTTTTGTTTTGCTTTTGCTGGTACTGGGATTTGAACTCAGGGCCTCATGCTTGCTAGGCAGGCGCTCTACCACTTGAGCCACTCCACCAGCCCTTCAGTTGGCAGATTTTTATGGGGTTTGCTCCTGTTGTGCACTGCACCTCTTCTAGGCACTAGGGAGCACGATGAACAAGGCTCCTTTTCTGGGTGCTCAGGTTCACGGTGGTGGAGAAGTCGAACAATAAGCTAATCAGGTGGTAGTAAGCCCTACAAAGAAAAACAGTGGGGGAAACAGAGAAGACAGGAGGTATTTTAAATAGGGCAGTCAGGGAAGGGCTGTTTGAGATGTGCCTAATGTGCTGAGACTTGCAAGAAATGGGAAGGCAAATCATGGGTGTATCTAGGATAGAGTATTCCAGGCAGAGGGATGACAGTGCAAAGGCCCTGAGGCAGGGCCTGCTCACTGTATTTGAGGACCATTTGTGGTTGGAGCAGAGGAGAAATGGGAGGAATTGAAGTCATAGAGGGAGAGGGGATCCTGGGGCTTTGAGGACCATGTGAGGACTTCGGTTTTGACTCAGTGTATTCAGAAGCCCTTAGGGTGCTAATAGATGGGAGGGATGCAGGTTGTGGAATACAGAGTACAGATGCCAGGGAGGAGGCTTTAGGGAGACAACAGAGGCTGCACTCAAATATCACAGGATGATGAGGTCTTGAGTGCAGGTGATGTCTCTGCTCCTTTCAATGGGATTCCGGGGATCCTCAGTTCCCCTCCTGGAGCCCAAGTTGAAGTCCAGCTCCATCACTTACTGGCTGTGATATTTAATTCATCTGTGCAACAGTTTCACCTCTGTAAAGACAGGTGAGTATAAGGCTCGGAGTAGCAGAACATAGAGCTTAGAAAAGTGCGTTTTGAGGGCACACAGAAGCCCTCCACTGACATCTCCTCGGTAGTGCTGGGTGTGTGGGAATGCTTTCTTGACATTTGTTCGATTCACACACACACCTGTTCTGAAAGAGCCAAATGCAGAAAGTACTGTGACTACTCCCACCACCACTACTACCTCCTCCTCCTCTTGTCTTCTTTTGGTGGAACTTGGGGTTTGAACTCAGGGCCTTGCACTTGGTAGGCAGGCACTCTATCTCTTGAGCCATGCCCCCGGCCCTTTTTGCTATTAGTTATTTTTAAATAGGGCCTGTATTTTTTTCCAGGGCTGGCCTCAGGCAGCAATCCTTCTACCTATGCCCCCTGAGTAACTGGGACTACAGGCATGAGCCACTGTGCAGAACCCATTTGGTGGCACTGGGGTTTAAGCTCGGGGCTTTGTGCTTGCTAGGCAGGTGCTCTGCTGCTTGAGCCACACCTCCAGGCCCCTGCAGGACCCATTTTGAAACAGGCACTCCCATTGCTGTTGGTGGCAGGAAGGCAGCCCACCCCACTAGCAGAGAACACTCTTGATTGGAGCCTTGCCATGACTGTTATTAGCTGGGTGGCCACAGGCAACTCTCCCTTCCTTGAGCCTCCTCTTCATCATCCATGAGGGGATAATCGTGGTACCTGCCCCATGGAGTAGTTGTGCAGATAAAATGAATCATGTCTGTAAGTGCTCAACACAGACCCAGTAAGCACCCAATAAAAGGTGGCTGTGAGGGTGCCACCCAGATTCCTTGCCCTGTTCCCCAGTATCTACAGAAACCAGCCCTTCCTGGCCCCGCTCCACCCTTCTTGGCAAAGCAGCCTATTTCTTGCTCACCCTCTTCCATTGTCTTTCTCAAGCCAGTTGCTCAAATGCTAGACATTTGTGCCTGGCCTTGACCTTGCCTCTTGAACCTCTTAGTCTAGGAGGGAAATGGATGTTAAGCAATATTTGTAATATAAGTGCAAATTGTCACAAGCAAGATGAAGGACAGATTAGCTGGGCACTGGTGGCTCACATCTATAAATCCTAGCTACTCAGGAGGCAGAGATCAGGAGGATTGCGGTTCAAAACCAGTTTGGACAAATAGTTTGTGAGACCCTATCTCAAAAAAAAAAAATCACATAAAAGGGCTGGCAGAGTGATTCAAGTGGTAGAGCACCTGCTTAGTAAGTGTGAGGCCCTGAGTTCAAGCCCCCAATGTGCCAAAGGAAAAAACCAAAAAGGACAGATCAGGGTGCCATGAGAGGTGATGACAAGGGTAGACTTTGGTTTAGGCTCGGGGGTCAAGGTAGCTGTGACCTGAGGGGTTTGGAGGAAACAGTGTGGGGACAGGGGGACATGGAGAACAGTCCTAGCAGAGAGATGGCAGAAAAGGCCCCAGGCAGGAGAGGGGCCTGTGCACCTCTTCTTCCCTTCAAGACCACTTGAAACTCTCCATTCCAGAAGCTTCCCAGAATTGACCCTTCGTACATAGGGATTATCTCAGACTTCTTTGGTTCTTTCAGAACTCCCTGCAAATCAACCCAACAAGAAAATATGCATAAAATAAAGTCAGTGAAAGCTTTTACTTGATAAAGAGTGATGCTTTTGACTATTGCCTTTGCGAAAGCAGCCACTGTAGGATTCCTTTAAGTAGGGACTGGTTCAGTTCACCAGCCCAGCACAGAGTAGACCCTCAAGTGTGTGATACAAATGAATGGTTCTGTGTATTAAAGTGCACCAAACAGATGTCTGCAGTTTACTTTGAAATGCTTCAAAAAATGAGGGATGTGGTGTGATGGTGCACACCTGTAATCCCAGCTACTCAGAAGACAGGTAGGAAGATCTTGGTCCAAGGCCAGCCTAGGCAAAGCATGAGACACAATCTGAAAAACAAACTAAAAACAATTGCAGGTGTGGTTCAGTGGTAGAGCACTTGCCTAGCAAGTGAGAGGTCCAGAGTTCAATCTCTAGTACCACACATACAAAAAAAAAAAAAAGCATCAAAAGTGTATTGATGCAGGGTTTGGCGGTGCATACCTGTAATACCAGCCCTCAGGTGGCTGGGGCAGGAGAATCACAAGTTCAAGTGCAGCGTGGACTACAAAGCAGACCCTGTCTCAGGAAAAAAAAAAGGCCAGGCACCAGTGACTCAGGCCTATAATCCTAGCTACTTGGGAGGCTGAGATCAGAAAGATGGAGGTTCAGAGCCAGCCCAGGCAATTAGTTCACAAGACCCCATCTCCAAAATAACCAGAGCAAAATAGACTGGAGGTGTGGCTCAAGTGGTAGAGTGCCTGCTTTTCAAGCACAAAGCCCTAGGTTCAAACTGCAGGCCCACCAAAAAGAAGAAAAAAAGCATTGATATGTGGTAGGTACATCATGGAACAAGTATAACAAAGTGATAATGGGGGATCTAAGTGTAAGAACGCAGGTGTCCACTGTAAAATCCTTTCATCTTTTCAGCATGGTTGAAACAGTCTCAAAATTACATATTGCGGGTAGAGGGAAGGAAGAGAGGTAATAAGACGCTGCTGTCGTACAAAGTAAGGAAAAGGAAGAGAATACATGTCAGGAAGATCGCCTTGATTATACCAATGCAGTTGTGTCAGTCAGTTCTTACTGGTGTGTTGGTTTTTATTTGTTTTCATATTCTGTTCATACACCTTGTCCCCAGAAAGGCCAAACTCCCCAAGGGCAAGAACTCTGACTCTTCCTTTTGGTCCCACGATTGATGGAGTTTGAGAGCTGGAAGCAGTGATTATAGCCTTCACCACAGACACCTCATCCTGATTTATGCAGAGGCAATGGTGGCCCTGGGGCGGGGGGGGGGGTGGTGTGTAAACTGCCTACAGGCACCTGTTTCCAGACTGAAATGCAGCTCTCCCCCACCCGGGCCAGTGCTGGGGAGCCAGAGAGAGATTTTGGAGCCACTGCGAGACGCTGGGTTCTGGTGATGGGCCGGGAACCAGATGTGGGCCTGCTGCTCTCTAACAGGTTCCCCTCAAGTGCCCTGTCCCCTGCTCTCAACTGCTCATCCATCCACTGGGGCTAATGAGAGGACTGGTGCAGTTAGGTCGAGGGAGACTTAAGTGATCACAGAGTGGCTTCTAGTGAACCTAGTAAGTGCTCAGTACACAGTGGTGGCTTTGAGTGGTCTAAGAATCTGAACAATGGGCCTTCTGTGTCGCTCTCCCCTCCCTCCTGTCATGGGAGTGTCTCCTACCTGAGCCTCCATCCTCCCCAATCCTTCTCCTTTGTCTTCTGGCCATATTCACTGCCCGCCCCCCTTCCAAGCAGAATAGTGTTTGGAGCTCTGAGCCGCTTCTCCCTCCACTCTCTCTCTCTGTTCCAGCGGTTGGTGTTTCCCAGCTCTACAGGCCTCCACATGTGTCCCACGTGGGGGCAGCTACAGCACCTCTTACCTAACTGGGTGGCTGCAGGGTGGTGATGCCAAGCCTGTAAAGAGCCCAGCTTGTCTTCACTGTACAATGAACACAAGCTGCTATTGTGTTCTGGGGAGCCCCCCCCCAAAGAACGCTGTCCCCTCGGGCTCCACCTAGGTGCCTCAGTACTCTCCTGGGAGTGGCACAAACTGCACACTAAGAAAGGGAGGCTTGTTCCTATCAGCTCAACCTATCCTGTGTCCCCGACCCCAGCTCCTTCAGCCAGGTATCAAGAAGAGGAAATGCCAGCCCTCACCCCTACCCTGCCCTGCCTACCCCTCTTCAGGGAGCACAGTGGACCTTGATGACAGAGGACATGTGTCACATTTATTCACAAATCTCAGTATGGCCCTGCTAAGGGACTTCCGGAACCTATCCCACCCCCCACCCCAGCTCCTCTGGGTCATGACAGCTGGTGTGACAACAGGAACATTCTGTTGCCTGGGCGTCAATTTAGGGCATGATGTCGGCGACGCTCTGGAAGAGAGGAGAGAGGGTGGATGCAGGGGTACAGTTGGGGGATTAAGATACCTGCCCCACCCCCTCTCAAGAAGTGAGGAGACCAGCTCTGAGTTGTTTCTGTTCTGGGGAAAGTCTTAAGGAAGGTCGCCCCTTGGTTTGGGGCTTCCCAGGTAGAGGGGTAGGGTGCTCGCTAGGAACCTGAAAGCTAAAGGCGGGTGAAGAGGGGCAAGGGCAGAGCTGGGAGGAGTGGGCTGGTCTCTGCAGAGGTCCAGTCTGCCCACAGGGAAGGTGTCTGAAGGCAGCCTTTGGGAGCGACATGAGACAGTCTCCAGATGAGGGGCAGGTACTCACCCTCCACAGAGCCGGTAAGTTGATGAAAGGCTTGTTGACCGAGGCCTGGGAGTCAAGGACAAGGTCAGTCATCAGCCTCTGTCCCACCACCTTCCCGCGGAACCCCACAGTGGCCTCCATCCCCTAAGGCCACCCCAAGACTTACCCCAGATACTAATGTGGTGGTTGCGGTCCCTCCGTGTTGGCCGGAAGCCTCGCCTTGATGGCTGCCCTGTGGACAAAGCCCAGATCGTCATTGTGACCTTTCTACCCTGGAGTGTCTCCCACCTTCCTTTTCCTAGTGCCCTCTAGGTAAATGGGGCAGGACTGGGAGGCACAGACTGCCCTCTGGCCTACCCATTCACCATCCAGAGAGACCCCAAAGCCCACGCATTGTGGGAGACAAGAGGTAAGCAGAGTCACCACAGTCATCCGTCTCCTGCCCACTGGCCTCCCAGACTCCCCTTCATCTTGGTATTAGGACACTGCTCCCATCACTGCGAAGGGGGTGACTGGGAACCCAGAGGACCCATGCAAACACCAGCAGCATGGCTCACGTTCTGCACACAATCTAGCTTCAACCCTAACTCGAGCTCAGCGACCCCATCCCCAGTCTCTCAGCAGTGCCTCCTCAACTGCACCTATCCCCTGGGCTGCTCCTGCCCCTCTCCAGGCCACTCCAGCAGGCTGACTCAGGACTCTCTCCTCCATCCACTCCTCCCTGGCTCCCCACCTGGCAGCACATACAACCCTGGGCTTTGACACCTGGGACAGACCCAGTTTGCTGAATCCAATGACTGCTCATGGAGGTTGGAGGGGACTGGGGCATGCAGGAGTCAGCCTCCTGCTAGTCCCCAGGGTCCACCTGGCCCCTATTCTTTTGTGAGTGGAGCTGCTTGCCTGGCCTTCAATATCTGTTTCATCTATTTAAACGGGTAAAAGAGTACTGCAGAACCCACCCCCATGAGGCAGTGCAGAGGAAGAGAAAGAACCCCATCTGCAAATTACCAGCTGGGCACTTGCCCATGACCAGCAAGTGCTCTTAGCCTCTCTGAGCCTCAGTGTCCTTATCTGAGCATCAGGGAGTTAGCGTCCTCACCCACTACCTCAGAGGATTGCTATGAAGAGTAAACAGAACGCAGCTTATCTCCAAAAGCTCTTCCTCTCTCCTTTGTCTCATGCTCTGAGTTTTCTCAGCACTCTTTCTGTTTGCACTTAGAGATCTAACTTCAGAGCTGTTTCCTGTTCCTAGAAAAGGCTTCTTGCTCCTCATGAGGCCCCTTAACTAGGAGGGCAGCTCCCGAATGTGGGACTAAGTGCCTTCCATGCTGTCTGGGGTGGGCTTTGCAGATAAGATGGCTTAATCCATCTGACCAGCTGACCACCACCTCCTTGCTTAGGGAGATGGAGAAGGAAGAAGGGGAACACAGTTACATGCTGCTCAAGCTTCTTTTAGCAAACAAAGGCTACATGGGCTCCCCCAAAATCCCAAGGGTTTAGCCTCTCCTCCCCCAGCCCCCTTCTCCCCAGTTTCCCCACCCCTGTTCACCTACATTCAGCAGCTGGTTGGCCTCCTTGCTGGCTTGGTTGACCCCATTAAGAGCACTCTGCTGCAACCTGTCCACTTCCTTCCCGGCCTGGCCAGCAGCATGGTGGACACCTTGGCCAAGTTTCTCCGCCTCCTTTCCGGCCTGACCAGCAGCACTGTTGAGCCCTTGGCCAAATTTCTCTGCCTCCTTCCCGGCCTGGTTGACCCCATCGTGGACCCCTTGGACCACTTTGTCTGCTTCCTTTCCGGCCTGTTCAACGGCATGGTGGAGTCCCTGGCCAAACTGTCCCACCTCCTTCCCGGCCTGGTTGGCCCCAGGATGGACACCCGAGATTACTTTTTCTCCCTCCTTCCCAGCCTGCCCGGCGGCATAATAACCATCATGGCCAAACTGCTGTGCCTCCATTGCAGCATGGCTAAGTCCATGATGAGCTCCTTGGACCACTTTGTCTCCCTCCCTCCCACCCTGCCCAAAAGCATGCTGGGCCCCCTGACCAAACTTCTCTGCCTGCCTCCAGGCTTCATTAACCCCATGGTGAATCCCCTGGCCAAACTCTTCTGCTTCCTTCCCAGCCTGACCTAAAACATTATGGCCCCCTTGGCCAAACTTCTCTGCCTCCTTTCCACCCTGGCCAAAAGCATGGTGGACTCCCTGACCAAACTTCTCTGCCTCCTTTCCACCCTGGCCAAAAGCATGGTGGACTCCCTGGCCAACCTTGTCTGCCTCCTTTCCACCCTGGCCAAAAGCATGGTGGACTCCCTGGCCAAACTTCTCTGCCTCCTTTCCACCCTGGCCAAAAGCATGGTGGACTCCCTGGCCAACCTTGTCTGCCTCCTTTCCACCCTGGCCAAAAGCATGGTGGACTCCCTGACCAAACTTCTCTGCCTCCTTTCCACCCTGGCCAAAAGCATGGTGGACTCCCTGACCAAACTTCTCTGCCTCTTTTTCACCCTGCTCAAAAGCATGGTGGACTCCCTGGCCAAACTTCTCTGCCTCCTTTCCACCCTGGCCAAAAGCATGGTGGACCCCCTGGCCAAACTTCTCTGCCTCCTTTCCACCCTGGCCAAAAGTATGGTGGCCCTCCTGGCCAAACTTCTCTGCCTCCTTTCCACCCTGGCCAAAAACATTGTGGCCCCCCTGGCTAAACTTCTCTGCCTCCTTCCCACCCTGACCAAAAGCATGGTGGCCCCCCTGGCTAAACTTCTCTGCCTCCTTCCCACCCTGACCAAAAGCATGGTGGGCCCCCTGACCAAACTTCTCTGCCTCCTTCCCACCCTGACCAAAAGGATGGTGGACTCCCTGGCCAAAATTCTCCGCCTCCTTCCCACCCTGACCAAAAGCATGGTGGACTCCCTGACCAAACTTCTCCGCCTCCTTCCCACCCTGACCAAAAGCATGGTGGACTCCCTGGCCAAACTTCTCCGCCTCCTTCCCACCCTGACCAAAAGCATGGTGGACTCCCTGGCCAAACCTCCCAGCCTCGTTCCCAGCCTGCCCCGCAACATGGTGGGCCCCTTGACCAAACCTCCCTGCTTCACTTCCCGCCTGGTTGGCCCCATGATGGATGATTTTGTCTGCCTCCTTCCCAACCTGTCCAGCAGCGTTGTTGACCCCATGGGCAAACTTCTCTGCTTCCTTTCCTGCATGTCCAACGCCATTGTTGATCCCATGGGATACCTTGTCCAAGCCGCTGTTGAGCCCCTTTTCCACCTCCTTGCCGGCCTGGCTTCCCATGTTGCTAAGTCCATTAAAAACTTTCTCCACTTCCCTTCCGGCTTGAGTGATTCCATTATTGATGCCTTCCAGGGCCTTGCCCACCTCTCTTTCTGCATTGCTCAGCCCCCGGTTGATCCCTTCGATGACCTTCTCGATGGGGTCATCATTGGCTGCCCATGCAGGCAGCGCCCCTAGGAGCAGGAGGAGGCAGCAGGAGCTGAGCAAATTGGCAGGATGCATATTGTTGGGGAGGTGGGGAGGATACAGAGAGGAGCCCAGGAAGCAAGGCTGCTATTTATCCTTGGCCTCCCGCCCTCTGCTCCACCCCGCATGACTCAATTGCCCCTGTGAGGCACTGACTTGGTCCCAGTCAAGGAGGCATTTCCCAGGGAGATTTGAGATTGAGCAATAGAAAGAAGGAGGAAGACAGTGTGAGTCATGCAAGGAGAAGATCCCCAGCATCTTTGCTCCTTATTCTGCTAAGGCCCTCCACCCCAGCAGAGGGGTCTGCCCTACCAACCAAAGCCCAGGCCTACCCTCTCCCAAGCCCATCTTCAGTCACCTCCATCCCTCATATCCAGTGATTCTGCAGCCCCATTGCTCCTTTTGGATCCAGGCCTCCAGCTTCCCCAGCAGGAAGAGTCTGGAGAGATGAGAGGTGCAGTCAGGGAGATTTCCTAGGGAATTGGGGGAGTCATCAGCCCTTGTTCTTGGGGACCCCTGGCCCACCCTCACTGTGCTGCAGCCACACAGGCCTTGGTTCTCCAAGCACCCAATGCTCATGGTTGCCACATGGCCTTGGCAATTAGCTCTTCTACCTAGAATATAGAGCTCAGAGCTTCATGTGGCTGGCTCTTCTCATTCTCTGCTTAGTTCAACTGTCACCTTCTCCAAAAACCCTTCCCCCTGGCCATCCCTGAGCACCTCTGAGCATAGCGTGGTATTCTAGTTACATGGCCCTTTAGTTTCCATAGCACTTACCAGGATCTGAAATCACCTTTATTCTGTTTCACCTGCCAAACTGTACAGTTCCAGGGAACAGGACGTTTGTATTGGTCACTGTGTATACCCAGCTTCGTGAACATTAACTGGGGTTTGGTCAGTATTTCTAGATGGAGCACAGGGATGGATTAGAGAAAGCTAAGGGAAGTCAGTCAGTGCCCAAGCCTGAGTCTCCCAGAGTGCTGGAGGGAAGCGGTCCTGGGTTCCTCAGGTAGGGTTGCAGATTTGGGAGCCAGGACCACATTCTCATCACCAAATCCAGGCCTCTTGCCTCCCAGCCCTTGGCAAGGGCAGGGGGCTGATTGCCATGAGCTGGGGTAGGACGCAGTGTCTCCTGAAAAGCCGGTTGAGGCAGCCATAGGGAGGGGCCAAGGACTTGAGGCACAGGAGCTGTCAGCCAGAATGTGGGCTGGGGGCCAGGATCTCTTCCTTCCTGCCCTTCTCCCCTGGGGCCTCCAGAACCCTGACCTGAAGCCCCAAGTATTGACATGTTGGCTCGGGTTGAAGGGGCCACGAGCTGGGAGTCTAGCCTAGGGCTGAAGAGAGCCACTAGAGGGAAGGGCAGTGGCAGCTCAGTGGCAGCTCAGTGGCAGCACATCCACCTGCGAGCTATTTTAGAGCAAGCGAATGAGAGCCAGAGGGTGGGGACAGTTGGGTACAGGAGTGAAGGATATTTGGGTTTAGATGCCAAGGATGAGACTGAGCGAGGGGGTGGCAGTGGGATTGCAGGTGGGAAGGCCAGGCGTGAAGGAATGTGCAGGGTGTGAGCAAGTAGGGTAGCAGAATTATGCATGTGGGTGCCCAGGCGTGGTGGGAATCTGCATATGTTTTCAGACTTTGCTCAAACCAGGGCATGAGGTGCCCTCTCCTCAGAGGACCCAGGACCCCACCCAGAATCAGGTATCCTGGGCTAGGGACCCATAAGCTTCTGCCTTCCTCGGCTCTGCCGACAGAGGGTGACTAATTGGGCCACTACGACAAGCTTGAGCTCATCAGTGCAGATTCCTGGGCCACCTCAGGTGTGGCTTTCCCACCCTGTGCAGTCCCTATAATGGAAGTCTCAGGGAAGGCCACTGCCAGGTAGAGAAGGGTGGATAATAAGTTTCAGAATCCTGACCCACCCCAAAATTGAGAGGTAGAGCCTGTCCTTTGGAAATGCACCCCATCTTTTCTGCCTCCTCTCTGCCCATCCCTACCCCCTCTGTCAGCCCCAATCTCCCTCCTCAGCTCTGTTCCCATTTGTGACTGTTTGATTCAGATCTCTGGCATCTGTGTCGGTAACTGAGATGCATCTGGAGTTGTCCTTTCTCCAGTCAGCAGCCATGGTCGTGTGGGCTTCCTGGAGTGGGCGGAGGAAGTTTGGTATTGAGCCATCACAGCCCTCCCCCCGCACAGCACATGTACTCGCAGAGGAGTTGCCCACCTCACGGCCTCACAGCGTGCCCCACCCACAGCCCTCTCTGCATAGGGGTTGCCATAGGTCAGGAGTCAGTGTAGAATGGCAAATATGTGTTCCCTGGTGTTGGGGCAGATCTGCCCATAAACTGCCTGGACCTGAACTAGTTTTGGAAGGATAAATCCTAACTTTCTGCTCCTTTGCCCAGTCTTCCCATACCAGTTGCTTGTGATAGGGCTTGCTATGTAGTCTATACTGGGCTTACACTCTCCATTCTCCCACCTCAGCCTCCTGAATGTTGGGATTACAGCAATGCACAACTATGCCTGGCTCTTCACAAGTTGTTTTTCTTTTTTAGTACTAGGAATTGAACTCAGGGCCTCGTGCTTGCCAGGCAAGTGCTCTACTTGAGTAGTACCCCCAGGTCCTTTTACTTTGGTTGGTTTTCAGATAGGGTCTCACCCTTTTGCCCGTGCTGGCCTCAGAGAGGGGTCCTCCTGGCTCCACTTCCTAAGTATCTGGGACTACAAGCGTGTACCACCACACCTAGCTCTTCAACAGTTTTGATCCGATATATCTGTACTTGCAGTGCTGGAGTTTGAACTCAAGGCCTACACCTTGAGCCACTCCACCAGCCTGTTTTTGTGTATGTGTGTGATGGTTTTTTTTCGAGATGGGGTCTCACAAACTGTTTGCCTAGGCTAGCTTCAAACTGAGATCCTCCTAATCTCTGCCTCCTGAATAGCTAGGATTTCAGGCTTGAGCCATCGGTGCCCAGCTGATTCTTTTTTTGAAGAATAATTTTAATAGCACCTAGATTTTCATGTCTGTTGTTATGAAATTGTGTCCAATGGATCCTGGCTGTGTTCATGCTGGATTTTTTTCCTCCTTGATTGTGTCCCCCTTTGTTTGAGTAATCATCTGCTTCTTGTCTTGATTCACTGAAATCACCTCATCTTTCCCCCAGTCTATTCTCAGCTCCACTTCTCCTGGGCCACCCAAGCAGCTGAGCCTCCCCAGTCCTGTCCCATGGCAGGTGCTTGGCAAACTGTGTTCTCATGCAGTTGGGGCAGGAAGGGGTGATGTCATTCTGTGATTTTTTTTTTTTATTTCCACTCTTCTCTCTCTGGGATAGTGACTCCTACCTGGTGCAAGCCCCCACACCCCCTTGATCACAGCTGCGTGTCAACCACCCTGCAGGTGAAGGGGTGCCATCCTTTGAGTCACTGATTTTACAAGCAAGCCCCCACCCCTAGGGCTTCATCTACTTGGTCTTCTCCAAATACTTATTAAAGGCCTGCTTGTGTCAGATACTGGTGGCACAGTGGTGGATAAGAGAGACCAGAATACATGCCCGACAGGGGACTCAGAGCCCAAAGAGGGAGGCAGGGAGCTAGTAAACCAGTAACTAGGATATAACTAACTGCAGGAAAATGGGCTGATGTTAGAAGATAGGACTTAGAGGTCACTTTAAGATGGGGAATCAGGCTGGACATGGTGTACACACCTGTAATCCCAGTTATGCAGTAGGCATAAGTAGGAGGATTGTGATCCAAAGTTCAGCCCCAGGGAAAAAAACTCGAGACCTTATCTGAAAAATAAGGCAAAAAGAGTTGATGGCTCAAGTTGTACAGCACCTGCCTAGCATATTGCAAGGCCCTGGATTGGAGCCTCAGCACTGCAAAAAAGGAGGTGGAGGAGGAGAAGGAGAAGGAGACTTGTTTATTCTTTGAATAACCGGCATACTTCATAATACATGTCACACTTCGTAGATAATGGAAGTTTTCATAAATTGAAGGCTGTGACAACCCTGTGTTCAGCAAGTCTACTGGCACCACTTTCCAACAGTCCAGGTGGTCAGCAGCACTTTTTAGCAATAACATTTTTTTAATTTAAAAATATTTAATTCAGACTAGAGATGTGGCTCAGGGGTAGAAAGCCGACTTTGCGAGCACCTGCTTTACAAAGCCCTGAGTTCAAACCCCAGTCCCACCGGAAAAATATTTGTTAATTCATTAAGAAACAATAAACTCATTACATGTTAATATAAATAATATATCTTCATTAGAGAAAGAGTGGCACTATTTTACAATTCTCTGTTTTTTTGAGGGGGTGGGGGCAGCAGTACTAGGGTTTGAACTCAGTACTCAGGCAGTACTGGGGTTTGAGCTAGGCAGGCGCTCTATCGCTTGAGCCACAACTCCAGCCCTGGCAATTACATATTTTTAATTAAGGCATGGGGGGGATGCTGAGGATTCAGTCCCCAGCTCTGCCCCCCAATTAAGGTATGCACATTGGTTTTGCAGACATAATGCTTTTGCACACTTAACAGACTACAGCATAATGTAAACACACTGGGAAACCAAAGCCCTCCTGGGACTCACCTCATTGCAATATGTGCTTCACCAAAGTGGTCTGGAATGAAACCTGCTGTATGTCCACACCATCTAAGTGAACATACATCTAAGTGAACACCATCTAAGTGTCAAAGCTCTTCTACTCAATGGTGTATAGAAGTGACAAAGATAGACGAAGTCCCTGCCCTTCCAGAACTTATGTCTAGTGAGTGGCAGAGACAACTGGCAAGAAAACAAATTAAACTAGGTATTTCTACATATGCTATGAGGGAAATAAAATTGCAGGTAGTACAGCTCTAAAGTGGTTTGGGTTTTTCTTTATTTTGTTGGTGTGTTGCCCAAACTGGACTGGAACTCCTGGGCTCAACCTATCCTTAGGCCTCAGCCTCCTGAGTAGCTGGGACTCCAGGCCCCTGGTACCACACCCAGCTTGGAGTTTTGCGTACTGAACATCCAGCCCGGGATGGAGATATCAAACAAGGCTCCCTGGAAGATGGGCATAGATGGTCACTGAGAAAGGAGGAACTTTACATGAGCGTCCAAAAGGGCCTCTCTCAGAGGACAGCACCTTTGGGGAACCAAGAGCCGGCCAAGAAGACATGGGTGGGACCTTCCAGGCGCTTCCAGGCAGAAGGCAACAGCTCAGGGGAACACATGGCGCCAGAGTGCCTGAAAAGAGAAGAGGGAAGGAGCTGAGGTTCCGCATAAAGCAGAGAACTCCATTCCAGATGTCAGAGCTCAGCCTCGGAATGGTGCGCAGCCTCCACGTGGGCGGGGGCGGAAGCCCAGGGTCCTCAGCCCACAGGCCACCTCTGTGACATCACTAGGCCCTGTGACATCTCCAGCAGAAGCTCTGGAGCCGCCAGCACCGCACACCTCGCACTTCAGTAACATCAAGGCGGGGTCCGCGACGGTTAGGCCATGATACCTTAGGAGGTCATGTCGAAACGCGACATCGTCCTCACCAATGTCACCGTTGTCCAGCTACTGCGACAGCCATGCCCGGGTGAGGGAGGCGTTGGGGCGCGCTGGGAAAGGGAACAAAGGGGAGGGGGCGGGGAAGCCCCTCTACCCTCCCCACCCCCCTCCGCACAGGGCTTTTGCAGCCTCCCGAACCCTGGATCCACGAGGTGCATGCGCACAGTCCCGGGTCCACGGAGGGGTGGGACCGCACTGTTCCTGCGCTGTCCCTTTGCCCAGGAGCCGCTTCCCACCCTCAGGGCAGCCCCAAGCTTTTATCTGCCATGAAGGGTTTCTGTAGCAATAGCAAAGGGGGCAGGGGACTGGCGCCCCACCCCAGGACTGGGGGGCTTTGCGCCTGTAGAAGCGGCAGAAGCAGGGCCCAAGCCGAGGGAGAAGAGAAGAGCATTCGTGACAAGAACCTAGGCATCTGTTTTGCCACATATAATTGATGGCCCAGGCGTCCAGGAGAAAAGGACCCCTTCAGGTTTTGGTGGGCTTTGTCCTCCTGAATTGTACAAAGCCAGGACATGTGCAATTTGCCAGGGCCATGCTAATCACTTCCCAGGCATGCCGTCCTTCAATCCTCACAACAGCCAGGTGAGGCCAGGGTGTTCACTGTCCCCATTTTAGACATCAGAGGTTAAGCCAGGGCAAACCACTTCCCTGTCTCTCAACCAAGGAATGATGGAATTGGGATTCCACCCAGAGCTTGGGGACTCCAGATTTTTGCTGCCAGCCATGGGCAGTCTGCCTCACCCAGTCAGAGGTGTGTGTGCATGCACACATGTGCCTGCATGTACACACACACACACACACACACACACACACAACTCAAGCCAGAAGAACACAGGTCTAGCCAGAGGAAAACCCCATCCCCTCTGTTCCTTCACTTCCCACAGGGTGGGAGGGGTTGCTTGCAGGCCACTGCAGGGGAGGTGGGGCTGGACATTTGGCTTTGGCAGGACACCAAGATCCATGACACCCAGGAAAACAGCAGCAGACAGGTTAACAATCAGGGACTGGGTCACTCTGTGACCTCAGGCTTCATTTTCCCTGTAAAAAGTTTATAGCACAGGCCTCATGTGTTAGGGATGGTTCCTGAAGAGTACACAGCCAGCGCAGCAGCTCTTCCCCACCCACCCACCAACCTAGAGTGGAGGGGAGGAGGGGGCCCCACCTTCTGAAAGGCCGCTGAGTGGCTCTGGGACCCATTCTTAACCCAGGTGGACAAATCTCTCCATTTTATGACAGCAGCGGCAAAGCCTCTAGGAATGCACACATCCTCAAGGTCACCATTGACCACAGGGTCACTACCACCAGTAAATACTGACTAATAAATATCTTTATGAACTTGCAGTGCCCTTGGAAACACCAGTAGTCCAGCCCTGGGCCGTAAGTCTGTGGCAGCAGGGAGAGGTCAAAGAGGCAGACAGGCCCCTAACTCCTAGCCCACTGCTCCCAGGTGCTTCTGATTCCAGGGCTCAAGGCAGCTCCCCACCTCTCGTCTCTCTTCCTGTCTTCATGACCATCTGGGTACCAGAATTCCTGCCCTTTTCTAGTAAAATCAGGTATTTAGTGCAGGATGGGAGTGGGAATGTGTTTCAGGTTTCCACCTGTTTGATATATTCTCCTAAGCTTCGGGATGAGAATCCCCTGAGCACTTGTTAAAGATGGAACTCTTGCCCGGTGTGGTGCCTCATGCCTGTGGCCCCAGCTACTGGACAGGTGGAGGTAGAACTATTGTTTGAGGCCAGCCCAGGCAAAGTTAGCACAACACCCCATCTGAAAAGCTAAAAAACCAAAAGGACTGGGGGTGTGGCTAAAGTGATAGAACAGTTGGCCCTGAGTTCAAAGCCCAGTACTGCTACAAAAAAAAAAAAAAATCAGATTTTTCTAGGACGAGAACTCCCAGGTAAGTCTTATCAGAACAATTTGGGGACCACTGGACAATTCAAGAAATGATCTTTGAAGGCTGGGCATGATGGTACCTACCTGTAATCTCAGACACTCAAAAGACTGAAGTAAGAGGATCTTGGTTCAAGACCACCCCAGGAAAAAGCATAGATTCTTTAAAAACAAACTTAAAGCAAATGGACTGGGGGTGTGGCACAAGTGGTCTCTACCAAACCCTAATACCAGAAAAAAAAATGATCCTTGAAATACTAACGTGTGAGGAATATTTCCTGGGCTCTTCCTAAGCATGTATTGTCTCATCTGGTCCTCACAGTGACCCTCCGAGAAAGTGCCATTTGATTGCCATTTTACAGAGGAGGAAACTGAGGCACAGAGCATACACCCCTGAGCAACAGCTGAAACTACATACCCACTGAGGGAGAACCTCCAGGGAAGGGCCCTAGCATTGATCTTTTAAAACCACCAGCCCCAGCTGGAGCCCCAGTGGTAGAGCACCTGCCTAACAAGCATGAGGTCCTGAATTCAAACCCCAGTACTGCCAAAAGAAGAAAATCTTTTTAATTCACCAAATAAAACCACCAAGCATTGTTCATCCTATGGTTCAAGTGGGTTAGGGGAATACTAGCTACATGGTTGGCCACTAGGGGCCAGGAGACCAGCAGGTTCTGGGTGGCAAAAATGCCTCATTCTAGCCAGGTACCAGTGGCTCGCCTGTAATCTTAGCTACTCAGGAGGCAGAGATCAGGAGAATCATGGTTTAAAGCCAGCCTGGGCAAAGAGTTCACGAGACCCTATCTTGGAAAAATCCTTCATTTAAAAAAAGGGCTGGTGGAGTGGCTCAAGATGTAGGCCCTGAGTTCAAACCCCAATACTGAAAAAAACAAAAGCTGCATTCTCTTGAAAGGCTGAAATAGTTCATCTCCCCAATACTGAAAAAAACAAAAGCTGCATTCTCTTGAAAGGCTGAAATAGTTCATCTCTTCCCTCCCTCATCCCTACAGTGGTGAGACCACCTCCCTCGCCTGAGCCTAAGGCTGAAGAGCCCCAACCCCAGGCAGAGCCAGTAAAGGAGGAAGTCAAGGTCCAGCCACAGCTGTCCCCACCTCCACAACCCAAGAAAATCACCCCAGTTCGGGAGCTGACGTGGGCATCAATGGGTGAGTCTCCCTGTGCCAGGACCATAAAGCCTGTCCCCGCCAGGTGACTGGCATCTCTTTCTTTCTCACCATCACTGCTCATTCTGCCAGGCTGTCCAGGGAGACGACGAGAATGAAATACAGAAACAGGACAGCTCAGGGGTCTGTGCTGTGTGCTGAAAGCAGCATGGATCCCAGCAGATAGTGAGGCTGGAAGGGACAGTGAAAGGGCCATGGAGTGAAGTCTGAGTGACAAAAGGCAGCCATCTGGGGAAAGTCTTCCAGGCTGAGGGACAAGAAATGGTTCTGGGGTGGAGAAGACAAGCTCAGTGCATTCAAGGACAGCCAGGCAAGGGGGAGAAAGGAGAAGAGAGAAAAGGGGTGGGAGAAAGTCCAGCAAGGTCCTGGTCCATCGTGGTAAGGAGTTTGGGTCTTGTTTGACTGACAGATGTGGAGGTCTTCATGCTGAGACACAGAATCTGACTTGAAGTTTTAACAGATCCATCAAGCTCCAAGATTAAGATTAGGAGGTAGGGGCTGCAGGAGTGGTAGAGCACCTGCCTAGGAAGCCTGAGTTCAAAGAGAGATAGGAGAGAGAGAGAGAGAGCGAACTCCCACCTGATCCTTTTGAATGGGCCTCTTTTCCTATCTCAGTGTTTTCCGTGGCTATAACTAAATACCTGAGATTTGACAATTTATAAAGAAAGGAAATGTGTTTCTTACAGTTCAGAGGCTGGAAAGTCCATGGTCAAGGGCCCACATCTAATGAGAGCCTTCTTGCTGGTGGGAACCTGCAGAGTCCAAGGCGACACAGGGACTCTGTCTTGTTAGCATGGGTCTGTCTTTAGTGGTATTGGGATTCCCACCCTCCTGATTTCATCTAACCTAATTACTTCCCAAAGTCCCACCCTCCAGTACCCACAATGGGATTACTTCTCAACCTGAGTTTTGGTGGGACATTGAAACCATAGTGACCACATTAACCCCAGAGAGTCCCCTCCTCCACATATCTGAACAGATTCGGACGCATCGGTCGCCTGGTGTTGCGAGCCTGCATGGAGAAAGGTGTTAAGGTGGTGGCAGTGAACGACCCATTCATTGACCCAGAATACATGGTGCGCATCAGGCAGAGGGTGGGACCAGAAAGGGTGGGATAGGGGTGGGAAGGGGGTTCAGGCTGCAATGCAACCCTCACCGAGGTGGGTGGTGGCTCTCTGGGGCTGCTCACCATGCCACCCCAGGACTAGGACTCACTGTGTCCCCCTCAGGTGTACATGTTCAAGTATGACTCCACTCACGGCAGATATAAGGGGAGCGTGGAACACAAGAATGGACGGCTGGTTGTGGACAGCCACGAGATCATGGTGTACCAGTGGTAAGGGCGGAGCATTTAAGGCACCTCAGCAACACAGCAAGCCAGCGGATTCTGGCCCCTCCTGTAGAGGTTGTAACCCCCCAACTGTATGCGTGCATGGCAGTGCTGTGGGTACTAGTTTGGAGAGAGGGTCTCAGAAAAGTCCTTGGCCCCTAGAGTGCTGAAGAGACACTTGTCTGAAGATGCCCTGCTCTCAACACACATGCGCTTATCAGTGCACTGTGTCTACAGCTCGACTCTGCTGACCCTCAACCCAGGTCAGCCCGCCCCCTTCCCAGGGCTGACATACGCCGGCTCCTCCCAGCAGCCAGGGGCTCTTGTGAAGCCTCCCCAGAGCTTGGGGCCCCTCTTGAACCCTCAATGGCTTCTCCTCACCCTGGATGAGGTCCCGGCTCCTGACGAGCGCACACTGCACTACACACACAGCCGCCATCCAATGCCCCACTGGCCACCACTTCTTGGGACCTTGGGCCTGCAGTTCTCACACCCAGGCAATACTGACTTCCTAGTCCCCACCTGAATGGTTCCTGCTGGTAGTAAAACCCACCCTTCGTTTATAGATAGGTTTAAAATCCTTATGTCAGAAGCAGTAACTAGGCACAGTGGCTCATGCCTGTAATCCTAGCTATTCAGGGAGATGGAGACAGAAGGATCAAGGTTCAAGACCAGTGCAGGCAGAAGTTAGAGACCCTATCTTTAAAAAAACTGGGAGTTGTCATAAACATCTATAGTCCCAGCTACCTGGGAGGCAGAGGTAGGAGGATCAAAGTCCAAAGCTGAACCAGGCAAAAGTGTAACACCCTATCTGAGAAATAAAAAGGGATGGGGTTATGGTTCAACTGGTAGAGTGCTTTTCTAGAGCTCCCCAATGCTGCCAAAAGAAAAAAGAAAAAAAAAAAGCAGTAGTAACATTGTGTTACTATGTTTCAAACATAAACATTTTCAAAATATCAAAAGAATTAAAAATTTGAAAAATGGGAAACATTAAAACTACCTTACTTTCTAAAGTAAAGCATTAAGCACCACTGGCCCCATGGTTGCCTGCCTCAAATTTGTGTAGCCCCAGGCAAGATATGTGGCCTTCTAATGCCCTCCCAGCAGGTCCACTCTCAGCTCCCCTTTTACCTTCTGAGGGAGGGGATAATAAGGAGTCAGGGATGGGTGCAGGAAGTGGGGGGGTGAGGGAAGGTGGTGACCGGAGTGTCAGTGAAAATGGAAGGCTGCTGACCAGAGTATGAAATCATGACCCCCAAAACGATTCCAGTAGGACAGTCTCCAGTCAGAATCACCATGTCCTTTCCCAATTGTGTGGGCATAATCACTCTTGCAATGCAACCCTCACCAAGGTGGTGGCTCCCACTTGGGGCGTCTCCTTCCCCAACCTCATCTCCACTCCATGTGCTCCTCCACTCAAGCTGTCTTCTCTGGTCACTGCAGAGTCCCCACCCCTCCTGTCCAGGCTCTTAGCACCAGTGTTTGTGTGCTCTCTATCATGCCTACCCTTTCCTCATGGAGTGACCTTGGGCAAAGGACCAAACCTGCCTGATGTATCTGATGGGGATGGTGACCATGCACCCCGCAGCAGGAACCAGGAACATGGCTGGCATTTACATGTGACACTTTCCTATGAGGTCACAGCCTCCTTGTAGGAAGGCCCTGTGGGTTTGTGCTCACCGTTGTTGCCCTGGCACTGGCAGGCACAGGCCCTGGCTCTTGGTGGACACTCAGTACTTCCTTGAAGAAAGAACAGATGAGTGGAGTCATCAAACTAGCCCTCAGGCAGGACCCGTGATGGCTGGGGTCTCCTGGAGCTGACTCCATACCACACCAACTCAGCAACTGCTATGGGACAGCAGATGACAAACCAGAGAAGAATAACCATGTGTTGTGGCCCAGGGAGGCAAGGGGAAACCTGCTGGCTTATCCATTCATCCAGACAGTATGGCTAGGAGGGCAGACCCTGGGGCCAGTGGCCTACACTCCAGATTGGCTCTGCTTCTCACTCCCTTTGCAGCTGCCCTGCCACTGGCACCTCTGAAAAATGACAACCACAGTGCTTATTCCTCGAGTGTGGTTGTGAATCTCATACAGCCAGCACACCCAGAACACATGAAACAACACAAGGCAGGTGTTCAGGAAGCACGTGTAAAATGACTAACAGGCTGGGGATACCACGCAGTGGTAGAGCAGCTTCCTACCACACACAAGGCCCTGGGTTCTGTTCCCAGCATCACAGAGAGAAATTCATTGTTACGTTTTTTTATTTATTTTTTTGGTGGGACTAGGGTTTGAACTCAGGACTTTGCACTTGCAAAGCAGGTGTTCTACTGCTTGAGCCATGCCTCCAGTCCAAGATATTAAAATTTTTAGCAATTTAAAAACCCACAAACATGATTGTGCTCCCATGGGAGGGAGCAAGCTCAATAGCAAAGGAAACACCCAGCCCTGTGCTATGGAATGATCTAGATGTAAAGAAATAATTAGAGAACAAATATCCCTGTCATTTATGATAAACTCTGTGAGGGACAATACAAGCATACAGTTGACTGCTTGAATGCTTGCTTGTTAAAGCCAAGTAGAAAACAACAATAGTAGGTATTTAATATGTTTTACATACAAATATTTGTCAAAATATCAAGTAAAAGCCAGGCCTGGTGGTGCACACCTGTAATCCCAGCACCCAGGAGGTTGAGGCAGGAGAATCAAGAGTTTAAGGTCAGCCTGGGCTAAATAGTGACAGCCTGTCTCAAAAATAAAAAAGCAAGCAAAAATGTCATACGCAAGAGGCCCTGGGTTCAGTCCCCACTGCTGTCCCCCACACACACAAAGCACCTTTGTACAACAGGAAACAGAATGCTTCCTTACCTTTCCACTGTAAACAAGTAGCCCACGGCTCTCCAGGAGCTGCCCTGTGCATGAGGGTCCATCCTCAGGGACTTCTGGCCTCCAGCAGAAGCTCCTGGGTGTAACTGAGTGGTAAAGACCCAAGGAGGATAGGAAGACTCCCAAGGCTGTCAGGCTGGGCACCAGAAAAGAGCCATGCAGGTGGTGATCATGGAGCCCACCCTCAGGACAGCTGATGCTGAAAGGACCTGAAGAATCCCCCTGAGGGAGCTGAGGTCTGAGCTGGGAGGTGGCAACCTGTGCCTGGCATAGCAGGACTGGTGCAGGCAAGAGAAAAAGAGTGGTGGGCAAGGGGACAGGGATGAAAAACAAGGCCAGCAGGATGGCACCCACCTGGAGCAGGGAGGTGAGCATGGGGTAGTGGAACAAGCAGTGGCAGGCTAGGCAGGAAGGTGTCTGGTCAGCCTTCTGAGTGGTGAAGACTGTGGACTCTGAAGGTGAGGCCCACACAGGGATACCAACCTGTCACCCCTCCACAGCAAGGACCCCAAAGAAATCCCCTGGAAGGATGTCGGATGCCCATACGTGGTGGAGGCCACAGGCGTGTACCTGTCCCTAGCAGCAACTTCAGTAAGTGGGGAGAGGTATCCAGAGCTGGCTGGGGGGCTGTGGCACGTGAAGCACCTGACCCTCCCCCCGACACACACACCTCCTTCCCAGGCACACATCTCATCTGGTGCCCAGCGTGTGGTCATCTGTGCGCCCTCCCCAGATGCGCCCATGTTTGTCATGGGTGTGAATGAAAATGACTATAATCCTGACTCCATGAACATTGTCAGGTAACGGGCAGCAGCATCCTGGGGTGTGTGGGTGGTGCCTCAAGACACGCACCCTCCCCTCCCTCACTCACTCCCACTCCATCCCTGGTGCTTCTTGCACATCAACTCTTAAGTCTCAAAGGCCATCATGTTAATGTCACCCTGAAAGTACCTGTTAAAAATGCATAATTTCAGACTGGGGCTGGAGCTCAGTGGTACAGCACCTTCTCAGTACATGTGCAAGGCCCAGAGATCCACCCCCAGCACTGCAAGGGAAAAAAGGAAGTAGGACTTCTGGAGGGCCTGCTTAGGGAGCTTCCCCCAGCTGCACTTCTGCAACCCCCTTCATCTAATGGTACCCACTGACTCCTTTTGCCCCCATCTCACTCATCTCACTGTGTCCTGGCACACCTGGGCTGTTTCAGCAATGCATCCTGCACTACTAACTGCCTGGCCCCCCTCGCCAAGGTCATCCATGAGCGATTTGGGATCGTGGAAGGGTTGATGGTGAGTTGGGGCTTGGGCTGGGGCAGGAGGACAGCAGGGAAACCCAACCTCTTCGTCCTCGGGTCTGCATAGTGTGTGGAGTCAGCAGGGACAGTGATTTCAAGGGAGGCCCACCAGGGGAAAAACCTTGCAGCCCTCAGGCAAGGCTGGATCCTGGCCTCTGTGCCTCTCCTGTGGTCTGCAGTGGTGGCCCCAGCAACCTCCATACCTAGCCACCAACCTAGCCCTAGGAGAAGGAGGCACGGGAGCCTGGGCACAAGAAGGCCTCACCTCAGCCCTCTTCTTCTCCAAGACCACAGTCCATTCCTACACGGCCACCCAGAAGACAGTGGATGGACCATCAAAGAAGGCCTGGCGAGATGGACGGGGTGCACACCAGAACATCATCCCAGCTTCCACTGGGGCTGCCAGTGCTGTGGGCAAAGTCATCCCAGAGCTCAAAGGGTATGAGGACATGACCCAGAAGGATGAGAGGGGCCCCCATCCTTAGGGGAAAGCAGGAGCATGGCCAGGTCCCAAGGCAGGGGGAATGGAGGCGAAGGTCCCTGGGCTCTGACTCCCACCCACCCTCCAATGTGGGATTCTCCAGGAAGCTAACAGGAATGGCGTTCCGGGTGCCAACCCCAGATGTGTCTGTTGTGGACCTGACCTGCCGTCTGGCTCAGGCTGCCCCCTATTCGGCCATCAAGGAGGCCATAAAAGCAGCAGCCAAGGGGCCAATGGCTGGCATCCTTGCCTACACTGAGGATCAGGTAGGAGCTAAGAATCCTTGGGAGAAGCCCTCTGGGGAGGGGGTGTGGTTTCTACCGACCAGGGAGTGCTCTCAATGTGTCAAGATAGGAACCATAGGGCTGGGAAAGTAGATCTCCCCACCTCAGGGTCTTTGCACTTGCTGCTCCTTGGCCTGGAACATTCCCTCCCAGTTGGGCCTGTTCCCACTTCTGATCACTACTCCAATCCCTGCCCCCCTCAGCAAGGTCCCCCACTCCAAAAGGTTTTCTCTTTGTGGCCCTTTTCCTCATCACAAATTTTATTACACAGTCACTTTTGGCTTCCATAGCACATACCCTCCAAGAAAGCAAGGATTTCAAAGCTGTCTCTTCACTGTATAGCTCCAGCTGTCTGCCCAAGGCCTGGCATACAGCAGGTACTCAGCACACACTTAGGGCCAGGCCATGCCGGACGCCTTCCCTGGGACTGTATGTTACTATCAGAAATGCCATCTCTGTGCTGCCTTGTTGTCACAGCTCTGCATTTGCTCCTCCAGGTCCACTCTCACAGTGCCAGGAGCTCTTGTTTTAATGGGATCTGATCAGATCAACCCCGCTGCTGAAAACCCTCTTGTGGCCTTTCAGCATTAGGGATAAAACCCCCAAGGCCTGGTGCCTGAGGCTCCTTCCATCTCAGACCCTGTGCTGAGTACTGGAATAGGCAGATCCTGCTCATGGAATCGCCTCCATACTAGAGGCTTACGTTGTTCCCTAGAAGTGATGTTTCTTGGTACAGCATTAAGGGTCTCTGTGGTCTGTGACTTTTTGCCAATAGCCCACCTGTAGGATCCCATTCTCCCTTCGTCACACCCTATCCCCAGACGCAGTAGGACTCCAACCATCGTAGATGAATGGGTAGACAAGGTGCCTAAAAGTCGGAGTCTGAGCTCCTGGAGGTCGGAGCTCTGCTACCCACCCTTAGCTTTGAAATTCTGACGCCCAGGTGGTCTCCACGGACTTCATCAGCGATACTCACTCATCCATCTTCGATGCTAAAGCTGGCATTGCTCTCAGTGACAACTTCGTGAAGCTCATTGCCTGGTGAGCGGGAAAGCGATGAGAGGATTGTGGGGGGAGTGGTCGGGAGGGGATCCCTTTGAGGCCGCCTCCTTTTCCTCCACAGGTACGACAACGAATACGGGTACAGTCACCGGGTGGTCGACCTCCTCCGCTACATGTTCAGCCGAAACAAGTGAACGCGGGGGAGGGCGCGCAGCGGAGGGCCTGACGCCGCAAGCTCCGCGATGAAATAAAAACCAGAGTGCTCGCAGCTGTGCCCGTGTCTCTGTGCCGGTCACGAGGGGGTCTGGTCTGGGTTCAAGGCTCGCCCACCGGCGAGGGGTGGCTTCCGGTTCGGAGCCGGGTTCCACTTCGGGGAAGCCGGGACAGCTGGCGCACTGCGGGGGAGCCAGCGTGGAGGGGAGGCTGTCCCGACCGGACTCGGCTCCGGAGCGCGGAGCGGCTGGGCGGGTCGCGGGCGCTCTGACGTCACTGCGCGCGACGCGGCAGGTCAGACTACCGTTCCCAGAAGGCCGCGCGCGGGCCGCGGCCAGTCAGGTGGGCGCCAGGTCCCGGTCCCGGCGAGAGCGCCGGCAAAGCGGAGACCCGCGCCCGGAGACGCCTTCTCGCGACTCCCGCGCCGGCGGGCCCCGGCGGCCGGCGTTATGACCCTGTTCCACTTCGGGAACTGCTTCGCCCTCGCCTACTTCCCTTACTTCATCACGTACAAGTGCAGTGGCCTGTGAGTGCGGGGCGGGCGCGGGCGGAGGGGGCGCGGGGCCCGGGCCGACCCCTCACCGCCCGCTTCTCCAGGTCTGAATACAACGCCTTCTGGAAATGCGTCCAGGCCGGGGTCACCTACCTCTTTGTGCAGCTGTGCAAGGTGAGGGCCGCCCGGACCCCATGTGTCTTGGTCCCCAGGTCCTCCCTGCCCGGGGAGCCGGCTCCGCCGCCATCCCCCACGGTGGGACCGCCCTCGGGACTCCGCACAGGGACGGCTCCCGAACACCTAACAGGGTGCACCTTGGAAGGAACCCGAGCAACTTTCAGCACTATGATAGTCAACTAAGAGGAACTGTGGTACAGTTAAAAACGTAACTGATCCCCAAGGTGTCACACGGTGCTGCTGACACTAGCCCAGTACTCTGTCACCTGTAGACTTGACTCAGATTCCCCCGTGAACTGCCAGCCCCCTTGCTTCTGACTCCCCCAGTCGTGCAGCTTGCCACCTCTCCCATATGGGCCTGTAGAACCAAGTGGCCTGTCCTCCACGTGCACACTAACTTCCCGTGAAAGCTGGAGGTGGCCCTTCTGCTTTCTTTTCTCAGATGCTGTTTTTGGCCACTTTCTTCCCCACCTGGGAAGGCGGCATCTATGACTTCATTGGGGTGAGTGGGACAAGGAAGGGAAAGGGAGTGCAGGAGTGGAGCCACCTGGTCCCTGAGCTCACTCAAGCCTCAACCTGACCCACAGGAGTTCATGAAGGCCAGCGTGGATGTGGCAGACCTGATAGGCCTAAACCTTGTCATGTCCCGGAATGCCGGCAAGGGGGAGTACAAGATCATGGTTGCTGCCCTGGGCTGGGCCACCGCCGAGCTCATTATGTCCCGGTGTGTGCAGCAGCCTGGAGCCCAGACTCCTGAGAAAGGACCCCTGGGTCCCACAGGGGTTCTGGAGGGTGGGGGCTCAGTGTCTGGTGCTGAGGGCTCTGGGGATATTGGAGATAGCCTCTCTTTGCCTTCCTCAGCTGCATCCCCCTCTGGGTTGGAGCCCGGGGCATTGAGTTTGACTGGAAATACATTCAGATGAGCATCGACTCCAACATTAGTCTGGTATGCAGTCCTGTCCCCGCCCCCACCCCCGCCACCACCGCCCCCCCACCCCCTCATGCTTAACCTTCTGCTGCTGGTCATACTGCCCAAGGCCTGGCCCCCCTTCTCACCTCCTTCCCTCCCTCCAGGTCCATTACATTCTCGCATCTGCCCAGGTCTGGATGATAACACGCTATGATCTGTACCACACCTTCCGGCCAGCTGTCCTCCTGCTGATGTTCCTTAGTGTCTACAAGGCCTTTGTCATGGAGTGAGCAGGGTGGGGTTTGAGGCTGGGTCCAAATGGAGGTGGATTTTCTATTCTTCGTCCCTCATTGTGATGTTTTTCCCACAGGACCTTCGTCCACCTCTGCTCCCTGGGCAGCTGGACAGCACTGCTGGCCCGTGCAGTGGTAACGGGGCTGCTGGCCCTCAGCACCTTGGCCTTGTATGTCGCTGTCGTCAATGTGCACTCCTAGGCTTGGTGTCTCAGACGTTGCCGTCCTTTTCCCGCCTTGTGCCAGGTTTTAGTGAAGTAAACAGTATTTGGAAAGTTGTTTCTGCCTCTATTTCTCTCTTAGGAACCGTGTAACACCACCATGTCCACCTTTGTCCTAGAGACCTTTGTTCTGGCTTAGAACCTGATAGGCAGGTTGACTTGTCCTGTGCTTATGGAGCCGTTCCTCAGGCTCTCTGCTCCCACAGTAGACTGACTGCTTGAAGGAAGTGATACTTGAGCACAAAAGAGGCCAGGGAATGGGAGCTAGAACCCAAGAGAAGGCTCTTGGGTATTCCTGCTCCTCTCCTCAGCTTCAACTAGGTCCTTTCACACATGGAACCTTCCCTGGCTGGTTACCTCCAAGGCTGATCTATCTCTTTATGCAGCCAGGGGTATCAATCTGAAACCTGTCTCACTAGGTCACCCTTCCCTGCTTATAACATTTGTGGTTCCTCGCTGTATGATAGTCAGTGACCTTTGGTTTTGCCCTGGATTTATCTGGAGCTACTCCCTGGGAGGATTTACCGAGTCAGATTCTTAATATCATGCAAGCTATAGGGCCCACTGGGAAGGGGGCAGGAAACATGGTATAGATTTGATTCTAGCTTCTCTGTGTTTCGATTCAACTCTAACCCTCAGACCAAACTTGGCCTATGTGTTCTCATAGTGGTGTACGGGGTCAACTAAAGCCAAATAGCAGAACAGTTGAGCTCACCAAGTTGGATCTCATCCTTCATGCCATCCTTCACTACCAGGACCCACACTTAGTCCTTTTGACCAGTTCTTTGCCCCATCCCTTTCTTCTTCCTGAGGGCTTTGAATGTCATGCTTAAAGCTCCATCTTGATGCAAACCCTCCCCTCTCAGGAAGGTGCTTCCCAGCCTTCCTGTTCCAGCAAGATAGGACAATTGCCGCATCACTCTTCTGCCAGGCTGAGGTCATGCTTGATATTTAAACTCAGTCCTAGGAAAGGACAGCTGTGTTCGGTTCTGCTATGACAGTCTCTGTTTCAGAAGGTGCTTTTTACTTTTAGATGGGGAGGCTACCATGTAGCCCACCCTTCCTGGGTGGCCCGAGTAAAGACATCCAAAGGTCTCTTGGGCCCTAGGAGTGCTTGATTTCCTGACTTTCTGTGGAAAGGAGGTAGAGCACACCCCCAGCCTGCCTTGAGTAGATACGTGGTGGGGTCCTTATCCCCACCCTCCCATGTCAGGACCTGCCTAGCCTAGTACATGTATTGGGACAAGTGAAGCTTACAGAAATAATCCCATGTGACATGGAATCAGGGACAGAAACTAGAGCGGTTAAGGCTGAGATAGGAACACAGACCAGAATTATCAGGACCAAGATGGAGAAGTCCAGACAGTGGTGGCCTGGGAAGACCAAGGCAGTGGTAATAAGGGATGTGACTGTGGCCTGGGCAGTAGTGGCCTGTGATGGACTGATAACCAAGATCAAGGCTATACCAGTGTGTTAGTTACTTTTCTTGTGACAAAATATCTAAAAAGGCTGGGCCACCAGTGATTCACACCTGTAATCCTAGCCTTTCAGGAGGCAGAAATCACGAGGATTGTGGTTTGAAGCCAGCCCAGGCAAATAGTTCTTGAGACCCTACCTCAAAAAATACCCAACACAAAAAAGGGCTGGTGGAGTGGCTCAAGGTGTAGGCCGCGAGTTCAAACCCCAGTACTGCAAAAAAAAATCTTAAAAGGAAGAAAGATTTTGGTTCACAGTTTGAAAGGCTTAAGCTCATGGTTGGCTGGCTCCATCCCCATTACTTTGGGACTGAGGTGAGGCTGAAGGTCGTGGCAATAGGAGGAGGATGTGGAGGAGGACACTGTTCAACATGGCAGAAAAAAGCAGAGAGGAGAGGGCCTGCTCTAGCCCCCAAGGACATGCCCCAGTGACCTACTTCCACCTCCTACAGTTTCCAGAAACTTAACATATCCCACCAGCCGGGAACCAAGAATTCAACACAAGCCTGTAGGGGACATTGCATATTCATGACACCTGGGCAGTGGTGGACAATGAAAAGCTCAGCCACGTTGATCAGGGCTATGACTAAATCATGAGCAGTGGTGATGAGCCAGGCTACAGTGGTCAGGGCTCTGACCGAAGTGTAGACAGTGGTGGACCCTGATAAGCCGGGTCACAGAGCTGAGAGCTATGAGCATCCAGAGTTACTGCCTTAGATACCCTGGAGGGGGTGGCCTTGAGTACAGGGTGTGTGAGCTGAGACCTGTAAGAAGTTAGTGGGAGGAGTCGGAATAGGAAATGCCAGTGAGCATGAAAAGTCCAGAGGTCAGAGTGAGGGCCTGGCTCTGCTGGGAAACATAACTGTTCACATGAGTTCAGAGGGGCTTGTGAGACTAGCCTACAAGTTGGAAGGCTACAGATCTCTACAGGCTGAGTGAGAGCTGACCTAAACAATGGGAAAACATGGGAGTTCTAGGCAGGGGAAAGACAAACTCAGACTTGGCTTTTAGGTGTTGTCAATGGCTGTAGGATGGGGCGACTGAATCCAGGAGGCCAGGGCTGGAGCGGGAGAGGAGAGAGGAGTGGCTAGAAGCCAAGTAGCAAGGTGGAGGTGACCAGTGACTTTTATTCATCTGCAGGGGATGTAATGGGGAAGATGACAGGTAAGCAAAGGCATAGAGGACAAGATTGGGGCTTGGAAGCTGGCAGTGGGCTTCCCAAAGAAGAGATCCACAGACAGGCCAGTAGTCTATCTGAGATTGGGTGGCAGATGGCACAGGTTTAGGATGATGCAGATGCCAGTGTGGGTGGCTGGAGTCAGATATGGGCATCATATCTTCTGCAGACCTTGGAGGCCTGGGGTCTGTGGGGAAGAGGAAGGAGAAGTCCAGGACCCAGCCATAGAAACAAAGAGGAGAGGAAATACAAGCAAAGGGCACTGAGGAAGGAAGAGGCCAGAGGTGCAAGGCGTGGGGATGATGCACTTCAACAGCTGGAGGGTTAACTTTTCAGGTGAAAGACTGAGGAGGGGACTGCCAGGAGTCATTCAGGACTGGCCACTGCAGCAAAGAGGTGAAGGTGTGAGTAAGTGGAGTTAATGCAGGCCCCTGCCCTAAGGCAGGTGTGGGTGTAGGTGTGCGTAGCAGTGGTACTTGCTGTGCAGATTTGGGCCCCCCTGTGCTAGGGTCCCCCAGGAGAGAGGAGTTTCCAGGGTGGGTGCACAGGGCAGTGATTCAAAGCCAGGCTCTAGAGGGACTTGTGAGCACATCCCAGCTTGCCTTCAAATTCTGTAACCCTGAGCGAGGAAATAAGAGATTCATTTTCCCCAGGAAGGTTGGTGGAGTCCCCGCTATCTGCCACACCAGGTTCTAGACCCTGAACACATAGTCTGTGCTGCAGGACTGTGAGCGATCAATGTGCTGACGAGAAATGCTTAAGGTAGAGCTTGGCACCACACAAGTCCAGTCAGCACAGGACAGTTTTATTACTGCCGCTTTCCTGTCCAGACTGGCATCCTCAGGACACTTCACCAGGAGCCACACGCTCCCTGTCAGGCCCCATCCCCATCTCAGGATGGTGTGCCCAGGATCTGCTTTACGATGGGAAGAGCAGTGGGTGGGGTCGCTCCACAGGTAGGGTGCCATGGGCTGCAGATGCGGACAGAGGTGGGGCTGGGACTCAGGTGCGAATGTGTTTTGGTAGTCAGCCAGATGGTCCCATGTGCCCCGTCCCCACCTGCCTAAGTGGATGCAGGGATGGCCTGAAGGCAGCTGTCCCTCTAATAGTAGAGTTCCTGGTCCCACCAACCTGGGGGAGAGAGAGAGACAGGAAACTTAATGCTGGGGGCATGTAGGCAGAGGGAACAAGGGCTGAATCAAGGGAGCAGGGGCAGTTCCATACAGAGGGTCAAGGGCTTGGAGGTCAAGGGTTGAGGATCAGAGATCAGGAATGGCTCTGAGAGTGTTTTAGCCCCACCCCAGGCCTCAGCCTCCACACTCACTCCCTGGGCAACAGCGAACTCCAAGTTTTCGGATCTCATCATAGACAAAGATGAGCAGGCCAAAGGGCATAGGGACCAGCCACCACTGGAACCTGAACACACAGGGAAGCAGCACAGTGAAGGGTGGACCCGGCTGTGTCCTACGCCACCACCCCTCTGCCACCACCTCACAGCCCCTCACCGGATGGGCATGAAATTGAAGATGTTAGGCATTCCAGGACAGTAACACAGGAAGCAGCCAATGCAGACCTGGAACACAATGGCGATCACCAGGATCCGGTTCCTGCAGGGGGCGGTGGGAAAGGCTCAGACTGGCAGGCTGGGGACCAGGTGGGACTTGGTTTAGGCCAAAGTAGGCCAGGAGTCACAGCAACCAGGAGAGGTTCTAAACACCAGACGCCATGCCTCTGCAGTGGTGGGCTGGGGCTGGCGGTCCCAGTGAGGGGCAGTGGAAACAGAGCAGGCCCTGGGGCGGGGGTGAGGGGAGCACCTGGCCCGCTGATAAGCATGGATCTGTAGTTGGCACCCAGCCCACCACGTCCAGTGCTGGCACTTGCTAGCCAAGGTGCGGGGCGGGGGCCCGCGGGCACCTGAAGAAGCCCTGCTGGAAAGCAGAGAGGCGGCGTGTCTTGCGATGAGGACGTCAGCGATCTGGCACATCTCGATGCTGATGAAGAACACAGTGTAGCAAGTGTACTGCTGGTACAGACGCTGCCCGAATGTCTGTGGACAGGGGTTGGGGCAGGAGACAAGAAAGAGCAATCGGAGCCCAGGCACATCCTTGCCGCCCCCACCATAAACCCCCTACATTTTTCCTCACATCACAGCCCGGGCTGCCAGGTTGGGGGAACCCCAGTATCTAACAGCCTGAATGGTGCTGCCTGGCACTCAGTGGGTCGAGCCACATGGCTTTCACAACTACAGAGAAGTAGCTTCCTGGGCACCCAAGGGAAGGAGCCAGGACCAGGGAACTGGAGTCCTTGGGCAGGAGTCCAGTGACTACAGACCAGGATGACAGCAAAGGGGATGGTGTGGGCCCTTAAGGAAGAGAGAGCACAGGAGCCTATGGGCGGCCACTGTACAGGCCCTTCCTTCAGTATGGCTAATGGTGAAGGTAACACCTGGGCTCTGGGTAGCCAGTGTTACCTGTGTATAATCTCATCCAATCTCCCAGGAACCTTTGTGGTACATGGCTGATGTTCAGACAAGCATGCATCAGACTCCCCAGAAGACCCACCCCCCTCCAGTTTTGGGGCCCCGGAGGAGTCGGGCCTGAGAATTTGCTGTTCAAATGAGTTCTTGGGTGCTGCTGATGCTGCTGGTCCATGAACACACTAAAATCCACTGAGCTAGACATTTATAGGAGAGAAAGCCCAGGCACAGAGAAGCCAGGCAACTTGTCCAGAATCACACAGCCTGTGGGGAGCAACTCCAGACCATGAAATCAGGCTCCAAGGTCTGCATTCTTAACCATGATAGTAAATGATCACGGGAAATATCTGAATCTGTAACCTGCTACTCTTTAGGACAAACTAGACACATCTTGCTGTGCTCCATGCCAGTACTCTGTGACTGATCCTTTAGGAAAATGACAAAAGGGACTGTTCCACTCCTGTCAGGGTGGGGAGAGGCCACATGCAGCTAAGAGCATCAGAAATGGGCAGGCCAAGGACAGCACAGGAAAGGCCCCTTCTCCAGCATCAGCAGAGCCAGGGTGCCTGAGAGGCTGTGGCTAAACTGGCCCCTCAAGCAGCGAGGGTAAGACCCCAGGCAGGTGGCACTGGGAACCAGAGAGCCCTGGGATGGCATGGGCAGGCAGGGGCTCACCCATTCCTGGCCATAGCTGTCCTGCAGATCTTGTAGGTGGTGATCCTCCCACTGTGGCCGAAGCCCCACACACAGCAGAGGGAACCAGCCCTCCTGGGCCATGGCTGTGAAGTAGTCGGCGAAGCCAGCAAATGACTGGATGGCACCTGAGGAAGAAATAAGACACAGATAGAGTGATAGGGTGAGAGACGGAGACATGGGCAGGAGCATGGGGAAACAGGAACACAGAGATGCACATCAAGGTGCATCAAGGACACAAAAAGTGTCATAGAGACAGGTAGAAACACAGACAAGGACAGGTACAAAGTCATGCACAGGCCCCTAGAGAAACGCAAGAAACGTACACAGAGACAGGGACAGAGAGAACAAAAGCAGGTGGAGGGGAGACATACAGAGAAACCAAAAAGTCAAGGCAATGACCAAGGAACAGAGCAGGGACCAGAGAGACCACCATAGACAGACAGGGATACAGAGAACAGAAACCCAAGATCAAATGCAAACACGGAGACTCAGGGAGCCTGAGGGAGGACAGCAGCGCCCCGCAGTGCTCACCAATCTGGAAGTAGGAGTAGGCAGCCAGGGGCTCATTGACCAGCCGGTCACGCTTGGGGTTCCTTGGACGCAGGTGCATGATGTCGCTCTCAGCCTTCTCATATGCGAGGGACACGGAAGGGAACTGGCCAGGAGCAGAAGGAAGTGGACTGAGGGTTGCCTGGGCCCCTGTCCCCTATACTGTTGAGTCACCCCACCCTCCAGCCAAGAACAAAGACAGGATCTGCAGCGACCACACAGCCACTGACCTGGACAGCCTGAGTCCAGCTGGCCCCTGTGCAATTTAGTATGTCTGAGTCCCATGTGACATGTCCTGTTGGCCAACTCCATTAAAATGTCTGCTTTTATTCCAGTCACTGGCTCTCCTGCTTGCCCTCTCTTCCTCCCCGTCGCCTACTCCCCATCTCCTCCTCTTCTCCTTTCCTTCTGTCTGTGTTTTTACATTCTGGTCCCTGGGGTCCTGCAGCAGCTAGGGTTTCTCTGTTCTCTTGTTGGTCTCTCTCTTCTTGTCCCTTATTCTGTTTCTTTATCTCTGTATTCAACCTCTTTCTCTATAACTGTCTCTGTTTTGTTTGTCCCAATGTCTCTGTCTCTATGTCTTTGCCACTATCTCTGTGTCTCTTGAGTTTCTGGGTTCCCCTCATCTGTCTGTGACTCCTGAGTGGCAGCAAAGTACCCTGAACAGGGGACCCAGCCCTACAACTGCCTGGCTCAGATCCCAGCTGCGTCATTTACTAGTAGAGTGACCTGGGGCAAGCCACTCAGCCTGCCTGAGTCTCCGTGAGTGAATCAGTAAGAAGAGAAGGACCATAAAAGAGCCCATTTTGAGGGCACTTGTGAGGGCCACGGTAAGTAAATCAGCAGGGGCCCACCACTGCTGTGCTATTCAAGTATTGTCACATGAACATCTGTCAACACAACCATGCATTGGCTTTCAGGGCTGCATTTGGGACTGCTTTCTGTCCCTCTACCATGGGGTCTGTCTGAGGGATCTCTGGGTCCACATCCATTTAGGGGTGTCTGTCTGTGATCCATGTTTGACTGGATGCCTGTGTCTGCTAAGACCTCTGCTTGTCCCGGCCTGCCCACTCCTGTGTCTCTTCTGGCTGTCTATTGATGTGTGCACATGTCATGACTGTCACTCTGTATCAAGAGTACGGAGTGTCTTGGTCCATGATGGCCGTCTGAGGGTGTATGTAGCGGATGCCACATGTGGAGTGAGGGCATTGGGACCGTGGACTCACAATGTCAGTGCAGAGTTCTATGAAGAGAATGGTGATGCACCCGAGGGGCAGGGGCACGCTGACGGTAATGTAAATGAGGTAAGGCGTCAGTTCTGGGATGTTCTTGGTTAATGTGTAGGCAATGGACTTCTTCAGGTTGTCAAAGATCAGCCGACCTGTGGGGACACAGCAGGCACTTCAGCCTCCTCCCAGACCACTGCCTCCTGCGCCCACACTGCCGGCCCCTCCCCTGCTCTGGCCCAGACCCTGCTCCACGCCCGTCACAATGGAGGCAAAATTGTCATCCAGCAGAATCATGTCGGCCGCATTTTTAGCAGCATCCGAGCCAGCAATGCCCATGGCTACACCAATGTCGGCCTTCTTCAGGGCGGGGGAGTCGTTCACACCATCCCCTGTCACAGCCACGATTGCACCCTGCAGGCAGGATCAGGTGGGTGGGTGGTCAACAAGAGGCCAGCGCAGGGCCGGCCTGGCCCCTCTGCCACCCTCACCAGCAGGCTCTCACCAGTCGCTGGCAGCTCTCCACAATCACCAGCTTCTGCTGGGGGCTGGTGCGGGCAAACACCATCTCGGGGTGCGTGCGCAGCACCTCCACTAGCTCAGAGGGGTCCATGTCCTTCAGCTGCATGCCATTGATCACACAGGCACGCGCGTCCCTGGGGAGGGAGGAGGGTTTTGCTGGGGCCTTAGCCTGCCGGAGGCATAGGGAGAACCACGTTAGGCTGAGGAGGGCTTACTTCCTGTTGACCTGGTCCACGGGGACACGGAGGCGGGCAGCAATGTCCTCCACTGTCTCGCTGCCTTCTGAGATAATGCCCACGCTGGCTGCGATGGCCTTGGCTGTGATGGGATGGTCACCCGTCACCATGATCACCTGGAGGGGGACAAGCCGGCCCTTGACCCTTTCAGGTCAGCCCAGTCTCCCCATCCTCCCAGGTAGACATCTGCTGATACCCTTGTTCATTTTTTTCAAGCAAGCATCACCTGCTATGTGCTTGGAACAAAACAGACAACCATGTCTGTCCTAGCAAAGCTGACATTCTGGTGAGGGAGACAAAACAAAATAGACTAAACAAATGAGTTATATAGCGTGTTTGAAGGACGGGATAGGCTCAATGCATGAAGTGGTAGCCCAACTTAATTATGTCCACGGAGGGAATTGTTAAGGTCAGGGAGTTGGCCATGTGGAAATTCATGGAAAGCACATTCCTGGTATTGGGAATAGCAGAGCAAAGGCCCTGAGGTGAGAGAATACTTGAACTCCTGGAAGAATGGCATGCCTAGGGAGGATGCTGAGCTCCTGGAGCCAGCTGTACCTGAAGCTTCATTCCCTACAAGCCCCCAGGGTCATGAACCAGTATGTTTTGGTTTATGACCACTGCGGGTGGGTTTCTGTCACAGTGTTCCCCACTCCCAAATACTGCCATCCTCTGACCTCGCCCTTGCCTAGTCCTCTCCCCAGTGGCTTACCCGGATGCCTGCTGTGCGGCATTTAAGCACAGCATCAGGGACGGTAGCCCGGGGAGGGTCAATCATGGATACGAGTCCCGCAAAGCAGAGACCACTACTTGGAAAGTTCATGTCCTCCGCATCGAAGGCATAGCCAGGCGGGTAGTCCTTCTCATTCAAGTACAGCTGGCAGAAGCCTGGCCAGGAAACAGGGCAGTGAGGGAGGAGTTTGGGCAGACCCTACTCTCGCAGGGCCCCTGCACCAAGCAGCTAGGGATGGGCCAACCCTGGGCCGAACTCTTCATCTGCAGGACCTGAATCCACCCTCATCCACGGTGAGGCACACCCCCATGGGGTGATGAGAAAACTGAGGTTGCACAGGGAACCCTTCTTCCCAAGGTCACACCACAAGCAAAGGGAAAGACCCACAATTGGACAACAGGTCTGTGCTTTCCAGAGTAGAGGCAGGGGTTAAGGAAGTTTAGGGGGGGCCAAGACAAAAATTGGGGGAGGTCAAACATCAGATCGAGGATTTTGGGAAAGTCTTGAATTGAGGCAGGGACTGGGGAAGCTCACGGGGTCAAGAGGAGGACACTGCAAGGTGGAGGTCCAGCCAGGTAAGGATGCATTGGTCAGGGTGGGGTGGGGTCTGTGCTAGCTCCTCCTCCTCGGGGACCGGTAACCCCCCCCACCCCGCCCCGCCCCGCCCCTCACAGGGCGGGTCTCACCAAGCACGCGTTCACCCAGGCCTCCCAGGCTGAGGTACGCGGTCTGGAAGGCCTCACGCCATTGCTCGTCCAGTGGCAGCTCCTGGCCCTTGATGAGGATGGAGCTGCAGCGCTCCAGCACGCGCTCGGGGGCGCCCTTCATCACCAGCACGTGCCGCTGGTCGCGCGGGTCCTCCAGTGTGTGGATGGACAGCTGTGGAGGGAGAGGGGCGGGGCTGGGGGCGGGGCCACGGGCGGCGGGGGCGGGGCCTAACCATAGGCTGGCTGAGGCAGTGGGCAGGACGAGAAGTGGGGGCGGGGTTTGGCCGTGGAGAGGAGGGGGACTAGGCGCGAAGGCCCGCCCTAAATGTGGGTGTGGCCTCGAGGGGCGGGGCGGGGCCGGCCTTATCAGCGGCGCACCTGGAACTTGTTGGTGGAGTTGAAGGGGATCTCGCAGACTTTGGGGAAGCGGTCGCGGTAGCCCATGGCGTTCCCCAGCGTCAGCTCCGAGAACTTGAGCAGCGCAGTCTCGGACGCGTCTCCGATCACGATGCGCTGGGAGCGAGGACGGAGGTCAGGGTCGGGCCCGGCTTCGCCGGGTTCCTGGAGTCCCCCCAAGTCCCTGCCCCCTGCACTCCGGCTCTTACCTTGGGCACGGGCACCGCGTCCTGGCCCGACTTGAAGGCGGCGCGGTTGCATAGGGTGAGCACCCGGCACAGCGCCCGCCACGTCTCCGAGGACTGGTCAAAAGTCTGCCCTGAAGACCAGGCGTCCGGGCCTCTGGTCGGATCTCCCGGACCAGAACCGAGCCCATCCCCCTGCGTTCAGTTCGAGTCCCCTCCGTCGGCCTGCATGGGACTCGATCCTGTCCTCATACCCCAGGACGGGGCCTTCTCCCAGGCCCAATACTGAACGTTCTGTGAAACGGGAGCTGAGTCCCCTCCCCGTTAATGCAAAACCTTCCCCAGGCCCCCTTCAGACCTCCACTATCAACTGGAACCTAACCCCGGCCCCTGTCCCCCCCACCTCCACACCTGACTGGTCTTCCGTAGTGTCAGCTGTGTGGATGTGATTGTCAAACCACAGGTGGGACACAGTCATGCGGTTCTGAGTGAGGGTCCCCGTCTTGTCAGAGCAGATCACTGATGTGGACCCCAGGGTCTCCACCGCTTCCAGGTTTTTGACTACGCAGTTCTTACTGGCCAGCCGCTTGGCTGTCAGGGACAGGCAGACCTGGGGAGAGAAGAGAAAGGCAGATATGGGCACTAATCCCTGCCCCCAATCGCCCCTTTCTCCTTTCACAGCACCGGGGACCCTCTACCTCAGCCACTGCACTGCAAGTGCAATTCTGCCAAGAAGCAAAAGAGGCTTGTGGGTTTTCGGTTTTTGGTTTTTGGCAGCATGCTTGCTAGGCAGGCACTCTACTGCTTGAACCACACTGTCAACCCTTCTTTTGTGTTGAGTATTTTCGAGGTAGGATCTCACGAATTATTTGTCCAGGCAGATTTCGAAATGCAGTCCTCCTGATCTCTGCCTCCTGAGTAGCTAGGATTAGAGGAGGGAGCCACCAGGCTTGTTCTGGCCCCCAAGCTTTTGCCCAGCCTGCACCCTCTCCAGTCTGCCCGGATAAACTCCCTAAGCTTCCCCAGCCTTGGCTCTGGGCCTTCCCTTATCAGCATAATCAAAACAAGAAAAAAAATAATCTCAAGTCTCCTCTTGACTCATCTTAGACTGGCTGCTGACTGTCGAAGGCACCGTTACACGCTGGCTGCCCATCCTGGACCTTGCCTATTTGTCTCTTCGCCCTCGGGTGTGGCACCAGACATAGCCCTGAGCAGCCTGGTTGAATGGATGCCAGGAAGGTGGGGGATGGACAGGAAGGGAAGTGACGGGGAAGCCCGGATGAATGAGCAAACAGATGGATAAACTCTTGCCAAACTGTGGCCATTTCTGCTCCCCCACTCACTGTGACAGTGGCCAGCAGCCCCTCTGGCACGTAGGCGACCACAATGGCCATGAAGAAGACCATAGCCCTCAGGAAGGTATAGCCAATGCACATGGCCACCACAAAGAATGTGGCACCGAAGAGGATAGCCAGGCCCGCGATGATATCCACGAAGTGCTCGATCTCAATGGCGATGGGTGTCTTCTCATTCTCCACCCCCGAGGCCAGTGACGCAATGCGCCCAATGATGGTGCGGTCACCTGTGCTCACTACCAGGCCCTGCGCTGTGCCTGCAGCAGGGACAAGAGGGCGGCTCAGGGTGAGGTGGGCAGCAGCAGGGGTTTGCTGGCAGAGTTCAGTGGAAGCAGCGTGGGGTGGGAAGAGGGTGGCATAGCAGGTGGAAGAGAAGCGGCGTGCCTTCTCCACGGCTGTCCTGGGGATGTGAGATGCGTGTCACTGAAGGTAGCAGAGGGAAGCGTGGAGAAGGCGGTGTGGGGACTGGGGGGCGAGCAGGGGCTTCACAGACCCTCAAGGCACATGGTGGAGAAGAAGGCAATGTTGCGGGTCTCCAGGGGGCTCTCGTGTGTACACTCAGGCGAGCGCGTCTGGGGCTCGGACTCTCCAGTGAGCGAGGAGTTGTCCACCTTGCAGCCCTGGGCTGACAGGATACGGATATCCGCTGGCACACGGTCCCCGCCTTTCATCTCCACCAGGTCACCCACCACCAGCTGGTCCGCGTTGATCTGGAACTTGTCCCCATCTCGGATCACAGTGGCTTGCTGTGGGGCAGGGGTGGGGGTGGACACTGCTAAGCACGATGTGGACAGGGAGAATTGAGGCCATCGGGGAGAGATGGAGGTCGTTGATGGGTCCAGGTTGGGTCTGATGAAAGGGGCGGCAGGAGCCTTCCTGGGTGAGTCTGGGGTTTCTGGAGTCTGAAGAGGCCAGGGGCTGGGGACCCACCTGGGGCACAAGGTTCTTGAAGCTGGCAATGATGTTGGTGCTCTTGAACTCCTGATAGTAGCCGAAGCAGCCAGTGACCACAACCACCGCGATGAGTGCTATGGCCAGGTACAGCTGGGGCAGGGCGGGGGGAGGGGGGACGCGGGATTATGCATAGGGACTGGAAGCTTCTGCCTGGGGCCACCACCTGCTCCCTGGTGTTCTTGAGGTCACCTCCAGGGTTTTCCCCACTCTACTAGGACGCCTCATACACCGTTCCCTGTGATCTGAGTCCCGTCCCCATGTTCTCCACATCCTGCATTCGTCGACCCGGTATTTCCATGCCTTGTGCCCCTCTGTCCCTAATCCCGTATTCCCTGGCTGCTCAGTCCTGGATCTCCCATATCTCCATGTCCTGCAGCCTATGCTCCGTGTCACTACGTTTCTTGGGCTTATGGATTGCCCCGTGTCACTGTGTTCTTTGGTCTTATGTGTTCCTGTTTCCCGAGTCCCCTGAGTCTTGCACTCCATCTCCTCAGGTCTCTACATCCCACACCCCGTGTCCCAAATTTTGTATTCTAGCTTTCCAGTAATCTGCATGCCACCCACTGTGCCCACAAGTTCCTGTGTCCTCTCATCCCCTTAAGACTTCATATTGCATGTCCTCCATCGTTAGTGTCCCATGTCTATGTACCTGAGTCCCTGTCCCGTGTCACCTGTCCTGTGACTTCTCAAGCCTCTGTTCAATGTCACACAAGTTTCTGAGTCCCCAGGTCCTTCATTCTGACCCTGTTACATGTCCGTGACCCCTTGTCCTGTATGTCTTTTTGCTCTACCTCTATGTCTAGTGTCATATTTCTCCATGTGCTGTATCCTATGTCTTATGTTCCTTGTGTTCTCTGCCCTGGTGTCCCATGTTTGAGTCCCAGTGTCCCCCATACCCTGTGTCCTTAATCTGTCCTATGTCCTATTTCCCAAGTCCCATATCTTGCACACTGCATTTCTGTGTTTCCCACCTGTGTCCCCCTATACAAGATTCATCCAGGGCCCCTGTGACCCATGTCCTCGGCTCTGGGCCATATCTCACTTATCTCTGTCCCCAGGACTTGTGTCTCAGAACTTCATCTTGATGTTTCTGTATCCTCAGTCTATGTCCCTTTGTCCAGGCTGAATGTCCTCTGTACCCCAGTCCCTAAGTCCAGAGTCTGCCCCACAGCACTGGCTCCTCACATTGTCATCAGTGGTGAGGTCACCCTCGCTGGCCTGGATGGCAAAGGCAATGAGGCAGATGGCAGCAGCCACCCACATGAGGCACTGCAGGCCTCCTGCCAGCTGCCGGGCGAACTTGACGTACTCCGGGGTGCCCCGCGGCGGCCTCAGTGCGTTGGGCCCATCCCGCAGCAGTATCTCAGCTGCCAGGCTGGCAGTCAGGCCCTGAGGACAGAGTGGCAAGAGGGAGGTTGGTGGGGTTTAGAGGGCCTTCCTCTCACCCTGTCCCCTTCCCTCTCTGTCTCTCCCCATCTCCCATCTCTCTCTCTCTCTCTCTCTCTCTCTCTCACACACACACACACACACACACACACACACACACACACACACACTTTGACCTTGAATGCTTTCTCTCCCTCTCTGTCCCACCTTCTCCTCCTGTGCCCAGCTCACCTTGGTGGCGCTGGTCCTGTATTTCTGTTCCAGCTCAGCCACTGACAGCTGGTGGTCATTCTGTGTGGTGGGGGACAGGACACTCACCCTGGTTCTCACCAGCCCCTCCCCTGCCCAGAGCCCACCTTCCAGCCCCAGCCCGCCCCGACGATGCCCGGCCCCAGGCTCACAATCTCCATCTCCTTCTTCATGTTCTCCAGCTTCTCCTTCTTCTTGCCTCCCCCACCACCCGCCTTCTTCTTGCTCATCTTGGCGGCCATGTCCCCACCAGGGCCAGGGCCCAGCTCCACTGAATATAGCTCGTAATTCTCCTAGGGATGGAATGGAGCAGGGGAGGCATCAGATGCATGTGGGACCCCTGCCCTCACCCTCCAGCCCCTGACCCTGGGTCCCACTCACTGCCTTCCCCATGGTGGCCTGTGCTGTCCCTTCCTTGGCCCTGACAGAGCCCAGGGTTTGGACGAGCCCTGATATACCCAGGGCAGGTGGGGGTGGAACAGAACTGGCTGATTACACCTGATTAGGGCTCCTTGAAGTGACCTCCAGGCCAGGACAGCCCAGGCATTTCCTACCAGCTGCCCTAACCTGCCTACATCCCATTGCAATCTACCACTCAGCACAGGAGCCAATGGGAACAGTCACAGGAACAGCACAAAGAGCAAACATGCGGTGCTCATTATGCCCATGCCAGGCACTGTGCTGAGGGCTTTTGTGTATTAAATTATTTAACTTTCCATTATAGATGGGGAAACTGAGGCATGGAAGGGTCTCCAAGCTAGGAGAAGGTAGTGTGAGGAGTTATAACCAGGTAGGCCACCTGCAGAATGTCCTCATGTGAGCTACATAGCACATGTCCGGTCACTTATGAAGGTGACTATTTTATTCCCGTTTTGCAGATGGGGAGACTGAGGCTCAGAGAGGTTCAAAGTGGACATTAATGGAAGCTACAGTCATCAGGGCTTTCAGGGCTCTCTTTGCCCCCACCCCAACCTGCCCCCATCTGGGTTCCAGATGGAGGAACATATTGTGGGAACAAGATGTGTCCAAGGGTCCTGGTCCAAGTTTGATGTTGATGCTTACTGCCAGGTGCCAGGAAGTCTGGGAGCCCCCTCCAAGTCCCCCAGGGCAGGGACCTCTGGGACAGCAGTGAAGGACTGGGCTGGTGGGACAGTAGGGGCCTTGGCCTCCCAGAGTGGGTGTGTCTCCAAGGGCAGGTGCCAGTGTACCTGATAAGACAATCACCTTGGTGATGTCCTTCTCCTCAGGAGCTGGTCACCCAGGGAAGTCAAAGCTGGTAGACAGCCTGAGCCCCCCCCACACCCACCCAGCCACTTGTCCCCAGCTGGCTCTAGGAGACCCTGAGAGAGGCGGCTGTTCAGGGTGCAGTCACCCTGACTGCCATCACTGTACCATTTGCACCCTGGCTGGGCTCCTTATGCCTGGCCAGGGGTGTAGAACAGCTGCGTCAGTCTTCTGCTCATAACCTTCCCAAGACTTCCCTTCCTGCTCAGAATAAAAGGCACGTGGTTCCGGAGGAGCAGCTCTCCTGCCTCAGTCTCCTCCCTGCTTCCATGGGCACTGGTCTCCTGGCTATGCTTTCTGTAGACCAAGGTTGTTCCTGCCTCAGGATCTTGGCACTACAGCTCCACCAGCCTGGACCCTCTTCCTGAGCTGTCTGCATGGCTCTTCTCACCTCCTTCTGGTCCCAGGGCAACGTCCCCTCTCCCAAGAGTCCATCCTGCAATATGCACTCCCATTATGCTCCATTCTCTGCCCTTGGCCCATTCACACCTCTGGTTCCCATCTGACATTGCATGTAATTTTTATCTGCTTCGTGTCCATCTGGCCCAATGAGAGGAAGACTGGGACTTGGTTGTGTTTGTTGTCCTACACACAGTCCCCAAACAGAGCCTCCCAACACACGGTAGACGCTTAACAAACACTGTTGATTCTGCAACAGGACTTATGTCATTAACTGCTGGGAATATCCACTAAAGGACCTGGAGCACTGGACAGGCTGGAGGGGCACTCAGACCTTGGGAACGCCTCAGATGTTCTCCACCACCTCCACCCTGACCTCTGCCCCCAAAATGCCCAGGGCTTGGGGCAACTACAGGGTCGTGTCTGCAAAGACCAAGGAACCCCCAAATGAAGTCACAGATGGGAGAGAAGACACCATGGTTGACCAAGATACCCTACCAGACCTCAGCCAAAAGAGGGTGCCCCCCTGAACTCAACTCACAGTGTTCATTCTCACTTCTTAGTTTTACTATATTATTGGAAAATTCACCTTCTTATTCTAAATGTTTGAAACCTATAGGTTATAGAGATAGTAAAATAACCCCTGCCTACCCTTCATCCAAATTTGATGATTGCTACATTGTCCTAGATAGATAAGAAGATCAACAGAGGCTGGGCACAGTGGCCCACACCTGCCATTCTAGCTACTTGGGAGACTGAGATAGGATTTTGTGAGGCCAGCCTGGGCAGATAGTTCAAGAGACCCCATCTCAACCAATAGCTGGGCATGGTGGTCCTGGCCTTGCCTATCATACGAAATGCTCAGGGGGCATAAATAAGATGATCAAGGCCCAGTGAGACCCTGTCTCAAAAAATAACCAATGAAAAAGGGCTGCGGCATGGCTCAAGTGGCAGAGGCACCTGAGTAGCAAGCATGAGGCCCTGAGTTCAATCCCCAGTACCACCAAAAAAGAAAAAAAAAAAAAATCAGCGTCTTTAAGGGTGGGCTGTTTTGCCCATGCAACTTATTCTAACTGCATTAGGTGTCCAAGTAGTACTAACCACCCCTCTGGGAGGGGGCACAGAGCCATCTGTCCACCTGTTTTTTTATTATTGTTGTTGTGTGCTGGGTGGGGGACATTGCACTCGAATTCACCCTCTCCACTGTCCACCTCTTGATCCTCTGGATAAAGTGCGAAGTGCCCCCAAATCTTTGGCTCCCTGATGATCTATAGTCCCCACCTCCTGGCCCAACTCAGGGACAAGGATTTCTCACAGAACATAGCAAATGTGACAGGCTTCAATTACCACAGGAGCAACAGGTCCCTTGCTGAGCCTGGGGCACACCGGTCTTTGGAAGCTTTTTCGAAAACCATTAGTGGTCAGAATTGAAACTTTTTTCTTTTCCTGCGAAAGAAGCGCCAGAGGATGGATTATTAAATAGGGAACATTGAGTGGGTTTTAAGGGGAATTTCAAAAGAACTTTCTGGCACACTAAGGGACTGAACACCCTCCAGGGCCCGATGAGGCAGACCCCTGGCAGTCGCTCCTCCTTCTCTCGTGCCATTTTCCCCTTCAGACATCAGCCCAGATCTTCCACTTTTCAAAGTGGTGGTTCCAGGACCATGGCCCGTGCAATTTCCTCTGCCTCCCCATCAAGTTCAACTGCTCGTCTTCTGGGCTAGGCACAGGTGTGGCTTCCCCCCCAAACCTTGGCCCTCGCCCTAGAGGGGTCTGGTCCCCCGGCCCCCGACCCCCCAGGTTCCCTGTCTCAGTCCTGAGCACTCTGGGCTGCCCTAAGTGGTGAGATTCATGACCACTCTGGACTCTGCAAGGACAGGATGCAAGACGTCTCAGTCACCGCCCAGGCTGGCCCCAGGGAGTGTTTGCTGATTGAGGGACCTTACTGTGACCGTGACTTTTGGTGTGTGTTTACATCTCCCCGATAAGATAGTGGGCTCAGCAGTGCCCTTCACTCCCGTCACTTCCTCTGGGAACGTTGAGGTAGAGACCTGGCTTCTCCCTTCTCTTCAGGGCAGGCTCAGGGCAGGTGGTGGGTCCCAGAACAAGGGGCAAGGTGTTGCCCCAAGGCTGGCTGAGCTGACAGCCAGGTCCCCCACATTCTGCTCCTTCCCTGGCTTTGTCCAGATTGGAAAGGTCAACATCCCAGGCCTGGTGCAGAGCCCTCTGCTTCTCCAGCAAATTGCCAGGCTGTCCTTGTGCTGGAATCTCAAGGTCATAACCCAAATCCAACTCTCTCTCCTCCTCTTCTCCCAGCCTCCACCCCTCCTGCCTCAATATCCCAGCAGCCTCCTCCCTGCTCCTGCTCCTACTCCTGTCCCTGCTCCACAGTCTCCCACCTGCAGCCAGATCGGGCCCTCCTGGCTCAACGCCCTGCCCTGGCTGCACCTCAACTCCAGCTAAAAGCAAAGTCCTCGTCGGGCAACCAAGGCCAAGGCTCGGTGATGAGGCCCTCTTGCTCCCCTGAGCCCTCCTCCTGCTCTTCCCCGGTTCCTTTGTTCCAGTCACACTGCTTCTCTGAAGCACCTCAAGGGCTCTGGCCTCACCAACTGGCACGAGTGGGCAGGGCTCTTTATTATCTGAAATTTCAATCCTTTTATACATCTTTATATTCTCAGGTCTTTATCAGTGGCTCACGCCTGCAATCCTGGCTACTCGGGAGGCAGAGATCAGGAGACTTGTGGTTCCAGGCCAGCCCAGACAAATAGTTCAAGAGATCCTAAGGGCTGGCGGAGTGGCTCAAGTGATAGAAAGCCTGCCTAGCAAGCATGAGGCCCTGAGTTCAAACCTCAATACCACCAAAAAATAAATATATTTATTCATATTATATATATAAATATATATTCCAGCCAGGTGCAATGGCTCAAACCTGTAATCCCAGCTACTTGGAAGGCAGAAATCAGGAGAATCTCAGTTCAAGGCCAACCCAGGCAAAAAGCAAGACCCCATCTCCATCAATAAAAGCTGGGCATAGTGGTGTGTACCTGTCATCCCAGCTATGTAGAAAAAATAAATAGGAAGATTGTGGTCCAGGTCAGCCTAGGCATAAAAGGAGACTTGATCTCAAAAATAACCAAAGCAAAAAGGGCTGGAGATGTGACTCAAGTGGTAAGTAAAGCACCTGCTTTGCAAGCATGAAACCCTGAGTTCAAACACCAGTACTGCAAAAAAAAAAAAAAAGAACCAGGCACCAGTGTAATCACATCTGTAATCCTAGTTACACAGGAACCAGAAATCAAGAGGATTGTGGTTCAAAGCCAGCCCGGGGAAATGGTTCGTAAGACCCTATCTCAAAAAAACCCATCACAAAAACAGGCTGGTAGAGGGGCTCAGGGTGTAGGTCCTGGGTTCAAACTCCAATACCAAAAAAAAAAAATTTTTTTTTCTTGGTTTCTTTTTTTCTCTCTCTTCTCTTATAGAAGAGACCTTTTACATGCAGTGGGAACATGGAACTCAACCTTCTTTCAACAAACCTCTCACTGAAAAGCCACCTCTGTCACTGTGACCTTCAGGGGTGGTCACAGCCCCATTGATTTTCTTTCTCTCCCCAGAAGAACCAGGCTCCATCCCGCCTAGGAGTCCTTGTGCTTGTTCTTCTGCTTGGATCTCTTCCAGACTTTTCTATGGCTGTTTCACTTCAGGTCAGGGCT